ATATTTACTTCCTGTGACTTCATTCTCCTCCACATTTAACTCAGGTTAAAGTCCGAAGAGCCAGCATCTCGGAACCCAGTGACAGTGAGTGTGATCAGCGGGGCCAGCCAGTGGGTAGGTGTATTGCACAATAGTCTTTATATGTATACTTGTGTTATTGCTCCCTCTTGTGGCTGAGATATGTAGGGTTTCAGTCCATAGGCAGTTCCTTTCTGTGACATACCTTCATATGTCACAGAAAGGAACTGCCTATGGACTGAAACCCTACATATCTCAGCCACAAGAGGGAGCAATAACACAAGTATACATATAAAGACTATTGTGCAATACACCTACCCACTGGCTGGCCCCGCTGATCACACTCACTGTCACTGGGTTCCGAGATGCTGGCTCTTCGGACTTTAACCTGAGTTAAATGTGGAGGAGAATGAAGTCACAGGAAGTAAATATAAACAGATCAAACACAGTAATAGAATTTTTATTGGCAGTAATAAACCTTATGAAGGTGCTGTTTTGTTATCTTGTGCAGCGCCTCACCTTGGATTTTTTGCGGGAGAGCCGGGTGGGGATCCTCTCCGGAGCGGAGCAGCTGTCGCTCAGTTCCCCAGTGCAGGAACTTTCCGTGGCGGAATTGCAGGGTTGTGGAAGCATTACTCGCTCTCTGAGCACTTGTTTATTCTGCGGTAATAACAGAGGTGCTTAAAGAGCAAGAAGAAAGAGCTCGCAAAGGCTGTTACATGGCTGGCTGTAATCACTGAGCTGATCCACCCAGAAAGATGATTTCCACTCTCAGAGACACAAAAGACTTTCTCTATATCCCCAACTCCCACATCACCACCTGCTCCCGATCCACAGAGGTACTATTTTGTATACTGAAGTGCCCATGTGCACCTTTCTCTTTTTTTGCTAGTTTTAGGCCTCATTCACACAGCGTAAAGTTGGGCCGTACAGACCTGTGCGGTGTGCACGGCCGTATCCAGGAGGGACACATGCTGCGTGTGATTGTACGCAGCAGCCTGTTCTTCCCTATAGGAGGAAGTGGCCGTACGCTGTCATTACTCTCACCCCAACTGCACATCTGTGCGGGTCCTTGTTTCCATGCTCGGACGCAGACAGGATCCATCCCGCTTGCGTCCAAGTACGGGCACAGGGGCCTGCACGGATGTGCAGCTCGGGTGTACGTACGCCCGTGTCCTCACATAGGGAAGAACAGGCTGCTGCGTACAATTACACGCAGCGCATGTCCCTCCCAGGAACGGCCTTGACTGTGTGAATGAGGCCTTAAACAGGTCAGAGTTTGCTTTTTGGCGACACTGGAAGCCTTCAGCTGCCTTGTAAAGGGAATGTCTGTGCTTCTGGTGTGTGGCTGTACCTTTAAGGATGATGGGGCTTTGTCCTGATCAATGGTCTTTCTCTGTAGGTGCGACTAAACCTAACATTTGTTTTGTTATTCCTGTTTGCCAGTGGAAAGGACACGTTGTTATCGCTTGTTCTTCCTTCATTTGTTGGAAACATAATAAAAATTTTAGCAAACTATATAGGATGGGGCTGCCTCAAGAGGAGCCTGCTCTATGTTTGTGCATCACTATAAATGTCCCACAGTTGGGGAAACTCAGTTTAGAGTTAGTGACTGCATTTATACAAGGTGCCTTGAAACAGCACATGTTTGCAAATGCATGCAACCAAATCCTCTGCTTTAACCCGAGTGTTCTTTTTTTTGATAGGTACCACGAAAGTGTGTAGTAGGGAACCCTTTATGTACTGATACACGCAGAACATCCACACTGCACAGAAACCAGTTAACCTGTTTTACCAGCACTGCCAAGAGCTCGCTCGGAGACTTAGCACCATTCAGAATCCCACTGAAAAGCTGACAGATTTTTCATCCTAAGCTCTGAACAGCTGAGGAATTGGCCACCAGCCTGGTGAACATTTTCTGATACCTCGGGGCAGCCTAACAATTTAGGTTTAATAACGCATTTAAAAAAAATGTTCAAGACTCACCGCTGTCTCCAATGCTGTCATCCGTTTCCCATCCAGTAAAACCTGACAATGCCAAGAAAGATGTTGATGTACAGGAAGTTTTCATAGCTTGCAGCACATCCACACTACCACTAACAGCGTTCTCTGCCACTCACCTTGTCAGAGGCTTTACGGGACAGATGTTGGGCGGTCAGTGCTCGATGCTCTACATGGTAGTACAGAGGGTTTCCCTCCAGGAAGAGCTGAAAAGAAAACAAGGCGATCAAAATACAGTTAGCCGGGAGCTGTGTCCAGTTACCCACAACTGTTGGCGACGGGGTTATGCCAATATAACTAGGACTAACTATGGTTATATCAATGTAGTGCTTGTGGATAAATGTGTTTCTCAGCCAGAGATACGTATTGGTCATAGGGTCCTTCTGTGACTTCATCAAAACTATTCTCCCTTCAGGAAATAATATCAGAAACTTTAGTATTTATTCACAAATATAGGATGCCTATAATAAATGTGGACATTTCAAGTGCTACAGGTAAACAGAGACTGCATTAATCTTTCTGAAAATCTTTGAAGAGACCCTGTCAGGTTTCGAACTGAATCAACAGGCCAAATCTCTGCGAGAGAAGAGTATAGCAACTTCTATAGTAGTCTTCTACCTCCCCTCTGTTGTAGCGCTGCAGCCTCTATCCGTCTCTTCAGCATTTTGGCACTTCCATGACTGTCAGATGTTGTGCCTCCTGTCGCTTGCTGGCTCCTTCGTCAAAACCCTATATCACTACAGGAATCAGCAATTATGTAGGGCAGTGGTTCTCAACCTGTGGGTCGGGACCCCTTCGGGGGTCGAATGACAATTTGCCTGGGGTCGCCGGGAGTCTCCCGGTATTAGATAGCTATTAGATTATCATCATTATTATTAATAATAAAAGCTGACCCCCTCGGCTTGTGTTATATGGTTTGCCATTTTAGCTGTTACAACAGTGGTTCTCAACCTGTGGGTCGCTGTGTGATTTCTGCTGTGCTCGGTGAGAGTCCTCCTCAGCCCTCTCCTAGCGCAGCAGTGTCAGTTCTCACGCCACCAGATGTTGCTCCAGCAGCCGCGTCAACCCGAAATTTTACCGTTTGGGGTCACCACAACTTGGCAAATGTTACCAAGGGGTCCCAGCCCTAGAAAGGTTGAGAACCACTGATGTAGGGGGTTGAAGAATGGAGCCACGGCATGCATTGGGGAGGGACAGGTATCTGACACCTAAAAGTTTTGAATACGCAAGAGATAAATGGAGGCGGCACTGCTGGAACAGATGAGAGGTAGGAGGCACGGGCAACTGGAGGGCTGCGTATAATACCTCTTCTCTTGCAGGGAACTGTCCTTTTGATTTGTTTCAAGGCCTGCATTTACTTATTGTACAAGTAAACCATAACTGAATGACATTTCGTTTTCTAAAGCACCGCGCATCAAAACCAAAATCGCCATGTTTTTCTTTTTGTAAATATTTCAGTTCTCATAATTGTACCCACTTTACCTTTTTCAGGTTGTGCAGCCGAGCCAAACCTTTAAGCTGTGAGTGATCGAGCAGTAGATTATAGGACAGATCCAAGTGTTGAAGGTTTGAGAGATGTTCCAGACCTGCCAGCAGAAAATACAATCAGACACAGCTTATTGAATGTGTCCGTGTCACACACATGCAGTCCACACATACATACACAAAATGACTGACCGTTGGTGCTGGACAGCTGGTTGTATCTCAGGATAAGGGTGTGGAGCTGGGCGCTGGACTGTAAGCCAAGCTCCGGGATGGACGTCAGACAATTAAACCCCAGATTCAGGTACTGGAGCTCAGAGAGAAGCTACAACACAATAATACAGGTTGAATGATCTATTTATCCAAAAGTGATATCAGTAGATGATGGCAATTTGAGCTGTAGATGTGACTTCTTTGATATCTCTTGGGGACCTTTGGTGGTAAGAACCCATTAAAAAGCACTCTGATCTAAATCATAACATGTATACAGACCTTAATGAAGACGCTATTAAAATCAGGTTTCCTTCCAGTTCACTGCCTCATAGAAATATGCTAACCTCTTCATAGTTTTCAATCTCATCCATTTGTGAGAATATAGAAATTCAATAATGGCAGACTAGAGCTGCAACAGTTAATCGATTAAGTCAATTAAAATCGACAATCGAAAACGTTGTCAAAGTTTTCGACCGTCGATTCATTGGCTATTGATTGATTAGCCTGTTCGGGGCTCCACACACGGCCTGAGCCCAGGACGCTGAAGACACGCCCACCCCACAGGACACTGAAGCCGCGCACGCCGCTGCCGTGAGCTCCCTCACTCGCCGCTATCCTGCCGACAACCGAGGGCGCACGATTTGAAAGGAAGTCAGGACCCCTAGAACTGTACCCCCTCACCCACACACATATCCGCTAGGGAACTACAAATCCAAGCATGCAATCATTGTCCCTGTACAAAAACCCCCCCACACACACATCACCCAGGATTGGGGGTCTAAACAGACCCCTGATATTTCCCTTTAAAAATAGAAAAAGAGATTGAGAACACAATGTCCTATATCTTTTTTTCTGTATCCCCTGTTATCAATGAACAGGAATCCTCTATACTGAGTGTTCCTGTTCATTGATAACATGAGGACAGAGTATGGTTACTATAACCACAATCATGAATGAACAGGAGGGGATCTCCCATTCATTCATAATTGGGGCTACAGTACACATACAATGTCCTCAATTATCTACAAACACTCAGCGATCTCTGATCGCTGAGTGTTTGCACTTGCTTTCCTCTCTGACACGCTGTCACAGGAGGCTGAGTGAGCGGTGCGGGAGGAGAGCTCCGCCTACTGTGACAGCGCGGCCTGTCTCCACCCCCACACCGCTCTGCGATAGGCGGCTGAGCGGTCTGGGAGGAGAGACACCGGCCGCTCACAGCGCTCTCCTCCCGCAGGCTGTCACTTTCTCTCCTCCCCGCTGGGACACAGAGCAGCGCATTGTGCCACCGTATTATACAATGCAGGATACCATGCACAATACAATGCAGAACACCAGCAGTTATAGAGGAACACCAAATCCCAGCAATAATACATTAAGCAGCCTGTATAATGTACTATTGCTGGGATTTGTTGTTCCTCTATAGCTGGTGGTATTCTCCATTGCGATGTATAATGTATTATTGCTGGGATTTGTTGTTCCTCTATAACTGGTCAGTGGTATTCTGCATTGTGCCGTATAATCATTATATAGCGCAATGGAGAATACCACCGGCTATAGAGGACTACAAATCCCAGCAATAATAAATTATACAGCGCAATGCAGAATAACGCCAGCTACAGAGGACTACAAATCCCAGCAATAGTACACTATAGTGTACTATTGCTGCGATTTGTTGTATTCCTCTAAAGCTGCTGGTATTTTGCATTGCGTCACTGTATAATGTACTATATTCCACACCACACTTTTTTTTTTACTTCCACCGCTCCAAGCTTGCTCCCGTGATGGACTACAATCTCGATACAAACTAGTAGTCCTTCACTGGAGCCTTTTTTTTTTATCCGATTAATCGAACTTAATAAATCGGCCAACTAATCGATTTTGAAAATAATCGTTAGCTGCAGCCCTATGGCAGACATGTATGTTGGAATCAAAATGCAATTTTTTTATAGGCATGATGTGACAGTAGTACTGGGACACAAAATAGTCTTCTTTATAATCAATGGATGCATCAGCAGCTTTGAAAGTAAACTTCATATATGATAACTTGCTTTCTCAGCTTATTCTTACATTTGCCACAATTTGGGTTGCTTAAATGAGAACCTATAGCCAAACCTTTTTTTTAGGGTTTAGTTCTCTTCCGGGCCACATTTACTAATGTACTTCTTTGACCCAAAGTCAGCATCTACCAGGCTACTGCCCACTACAGTATTTGCTTACAGAGCAGAGCCACAGCCGGGAAAGAACTTGACAATATTGTCAGGATCCACCACACTGACCGATTGACAGCTGTGCCTGCTCCCTCCTGTCTGTACCCGCTGTCTTCAATGAGCACTGGAGGAACAGAGAGAGAAGGGAATCCCTCTGGGTAGTGGTGAATGACATTCGCCATTCTATGCAGGGTGGAGCCGTGCGATCAGTGGTTTGTGATCGCTCAGTTCTCAAGCATGGGGGCCGGCATTTGATAGCTGTAGTGTCACATGCCGGCTCAAACTATTTGGAAGAGTATATTTTACTCTCCCAATAGTTCTTCTTTAACATATACTTCTAGCTGATTGCTATTCACACAAAGCACATACCTTATTGAACAGGGTGAAATGCCCTACCTTTAAATATGGGCCGCAGTCTTTAATACAATTGTGGCTTAAGTCCAAAATCCTCAGAATGTTCAACAATTCCTGAACAAAAGAACACACTGTAACCAAACATTTCTACAAGAGATGGACAAAATTTGTTAAAAGACCCCACTACAGCTTCTGAATTTTAAAAGTTTTTAAATTCCCTAACCCTAGCTGAAAGTTAAAGAAAAAAAAAAATCAGCTTTGACGGCAATATTCACCTTTTCCCCCGGTGCTTTCCTCTGCAGAAACTCTGCCCACAGTCAGGTTGAATGACACCAAGCAACCCTTTCTCAGTGCCCTGGCAGTCATGGGCCCACTCCTGTAGTCCCCTGGATTACAGAAGGTCCTGGTGGAAGCTCTGGTGATGTGCGACGTATGATCAGGAGGATTGTGGAGGACATGTGCACACCACTTGGAAGAAGATTTACAGGTAAAGGTTAGAGGTAAAAATGCACGGGAGAAGGAGGAAAAGGGATTAGAACTTGTAGTGCATTGTGGAATTGGGTTTCAAAGTAAACTTGTACTTAATGCAGGTTCACTTTACTGTCGGACAACGGAGAAGGCACCCCAAGATGCCTGTTCTGACTTGGCCAGCATTCTCTAATGCCTGATGGAGTGCCCCTGAAATTCCTGTGCAAGGTTAGACTTTCTGAAAATCTAAACCCACACTGGGCTAAGGCAAGCTTCTTCTCTGTCCCCTATGTGACAGCATTCGGGCCACTTAGGTATAGGAAACACTTGACACCCTCCTTGCCTGTCATCAATGGGTGCTTCCTGAGGCTCTGTCAGAAGATCTTGGAGCATTAGGAAAGGAAACAGCAGGCACCTTAGGACAGCATGCCAATTAGTTAAGAATCCATGTGAAGATGGAAGCGAGGCGCTGAACCCCCATAGGTACCTTTCTCGCTTACAGAGCAGATACAGCTAGCAATTATAAAGCAAATTATATGGATCTGTGTAGAATTGTTAAACTGCGTTCTGTGGCACTGCGGTTACAAATATTTATACATGTCTCCACCAGCTTGTACATTTTGATGGAGTACTCCTTCAATAGTTGTCACCCCCAGTATAAAGTGTACTCACCAAGGACTGGTCCAGGCTGTGGATGGTGTTGTAGCTGAAGTTGAGCGTGTGCAGTTCCAGCCAGGGCAGGGCTGAACTCAGATCCCCACCACAAAGAGAGATTACCTCCTGCGGAATGATACACATCATGTATTGAAGAGTAGATGCAGGGGACAGAGGAAAGCTTTGGTGAGGTACAAATACTATCAGAAAATCACTGCAACCATGCTAAAAATCAGAAAGTCCATTCATCTCATCTAATCTGCAGCTGCAAGATTTCACAGGCCATCAAACAGTGTCGGGGAGGGTGTACTTCCAGAAAGATGTGCGGGGTACATTCCTCTCTCTCGTTTCTGCCAACCACATAAAACTTCCATGGCAGGTTTGAATGTGATTGGTGACCATGAGAAACTTCTGACATGTTTTTAGCCTTGAGTGCTTTAACATCAAAGCAATAGATATTGAGGAGTGCCTGTGCTCAAATCAACATAGTTAACATATATGTAACACATGAGGTGCTGAAGGGGTGTGACAACATATTAACACTGAAAAGATTGAATTAACCCTCTGTACACCGATATACACAGATACAGATCTATACCAAACATTTGCATAAATAAAGCGATTCTTGGGTCACATATATTGAAGTACATGGTCAGGCTGGCCAACTGCGTCAAAGTGTTCCCTATTCTACTGTGCAAAACGCCAAATACTTGCTAGCTTAAAGGATAGATGGATGGATAGATACATAGTCTTGCTTGCAGCAACCAGTGAAATGCATTATCATTACGATTACAATTTTCAATGGGTGTTGTAGACAAGACTCTGGTTTCTCTCTCTCTCTCCCTAAAGCACATTTAACCAAAGATATCTCTCCATTTCTATTACATAGTGCAGGTCAATAACTAGATGCGGATCTATAGCTCTCTTCCAACGGTGTCTATATGCCCCATATTGGCACTAAATGTCTGCCCCATATTGGCACTATATGGCCATTGAAGTGAACCTATTAGCAAGACAGTATTTGGCATTTTGAAAAGAAGGGACTTGCCGAGGAGTTTGCTTAGATGCAGTTGCCCAGCTTGAACATGTATTGCAATACACACAAACCAATAATCCCTGTTTTTATACAAACCTTTGCAAGAAATATGTAGGGGTGTATAGCAGTGTGCAGATTCAGAACTTCCAGCATCATAGCTGGTGCGTTATAGGATCAGCATAGTATGGACCAAAGAGAACAAGGAGGAAGGGTGCGCTACAGCAATGTCTGGATAAGACCCTGAAAAAGTAAGCAGGTAGGCTCACTTCCTTCCTATATATCTCAAGGCTTCTTTTTCAGTTTTGACTACCATGTCCCTTTAAAACAATTGCAACCACTACTGCAGAAAAATACTATATTCTGGTGACTGTATAGGATTAATACCTCCAAATGGTAAAATTTACTATATAATAGAGGTGCACCGAAATGGAAATTTTAGAACCGAAACAAAACAAAAAAAATGTCAGGCCGAAACCGATACCGAATTTTTTTTTTATTTTTTCAATTTTTTTAATATTTTATTTTTTATAAGTAGAGGAAAGCCCAGCCTCCTGTGACAGCGCTGTCTCTGCCCCCACACAGCTCTGCCGGACTGTTATAGGCAGCTGAGCGGTGTAGGAGGAGAGATGCCGGCCTCTCACAGCGCTCTCGTCCTGCAGCGCTCGGCCGGCTGTCACTTTCTTTTCTCCCCGCTGGAACAGTGACCAGCGGGGAGAAAAGAAACCAGGGATGCGCCGATGTATCGGCCGAAACATGGCTCTTTCGGCATTATGCCAAAAGTGCCATTTTCGGCCGATATGTTTCGGCGCCGATATATCGGTGCATCCCTACTATATAAATTCCTTTAATTTAAAGTCATTTATCGATATTTACTGCGCACTTCCATATAGGCCAAGCCGAGTTCTATGGAACTATTATAGATCACTAAAATCAGACTTCCACTTATAGATCAGTCTAACCCAATGGTGGAGTGCTCCCACTTACCTCTAAGCTGGTGACACAGTGTGAACAGGTGAGGACCTCCAGCTGTGAGTAAACCCCTCGCAGCCCCCTCAGGCAGTGTGGGGGGAGACATCGTAACTGCGAAATGAGATGATAATCAGGAATTGGTTAATATCAATCTTAGCAGCTCCTTCATTTCTATCAAGACAGGTTCTCTTTAAAGCTCATCTTTGGGCAAAGTGAGTTTCATTATACATTTAGGTCAGCCATTCTCAACCAGGGTTCCATCAGAGGCTAGTAGGGGTTCCATGAGCTGTGCCTGACCGACGGACCAGGCACAGCTTTTTATGGTGACTGCATAGTTCCAGGGCCAGCAGCATCACACCAATGATCTTTTTAGCCTCCTGTAAGGGTGAAATTCTGACCACCACTGTAAGATTAGCATTCTTCCCACTTACCCCTGATGAACTGGATTTATCAGGAGGTACGCCCAGACTTAAACTTTATTTTTTCAAGGGTTAACCAAACTTCGGGCCTCCAGCTGTGGTGAAAACACAAATCCTATCATGCCTGTGGGAGTCATGCCTGTGGCTGTGCAATGTCTTATGGGACTTGAAGTTCAACAGGGCCGAAGTTTGGAAACCCCTGCGCTCTTGGCTAAAAAGCCTGAAAAAGGCTGATTTAGGTAACCTATTATCTTTTCCTCTAGTGTCCTCGGATGAAAAATGTAATTGCACTGGTACTGACATTTCCTGTGCAGGGGACCAGGCACCGGTACCTGCTGTCTGTACGGCACAGTGACTGGTCCCCTAACCCCCCCCCCCATGTGCATGCATGCCCATTGTTCAGAGACCACCCACAAAAACTAATTTGGGCTGAGGCTACAGTGTAAGTGTATTTTTACATCACTCCCGATGTAAGGGAATTGCTGCAAAACCTTTCTGCAGCAGACAGGAGATTTGACATTTTTCAACCAATGACTGATGACATCACTGGCCATAAAAAGGAGTATTCCCTGGATTTGGAGAAAGGCGGAGTTTAGTTTATTTTTACAAATCAGAGGACTCTACTTAAATATAGCAGTAGGACACTACCAGCATGGTGTTTGAATGGTCTCCGTTAGCTTGTCTGGGTTTCCTCTGGGTACTCCAGTGACATGCTGGTAGGTAGTTGGCTTTAGTATGTATGCATGTGAAACGGGGACCTTAGATTGTAAGCTCCCTGGGGCAGGGAATAATGTGAATGGATAGTATTTAAAGTGCTGTGTTAGTTGACGGTGCTATAGAAATTCCTGCAAAAATAAAATCTAGCATAGGAATGGAGATGAGCTTTGCAATATAAATGAAGTGTAATTAGTGATATTCATCTATTGGACAGGAATATATAAAAGTTACCAAAGTGATACCGCAGCTCAAATTAGAAATAATTTTTCCTCCATCACCTGTGGCAGGCTGAAGGAATGCTCATAGAAAATACTCACCTCCAAACGTTTTAGGGACTTAAACGGAAAAATATTCACATCAAACTGGCGGGGACATTCGGGAGGGTGAGCAAGCTGGAAAGGAGAAAAAAACAAACAAATATCCATTGGCGTGCAGCAGGAATGCAAGATGTGACAGTTGTTAAAAGTCTCAGGAAAACAATGCTTCAATCTTTTAGGCTCGATTCACACATTTTGGTGCGTTGCTTTAACACGCTTTGTGTAAAACGGTACCATGCGTAATGGTGCATTTGAACTGCGATGCCTTAGTGCCTGAGATGCTGTTCAATATGAATGGTGCAGCAATGCAATTGTGCAGGTGATGCTACGGTAACGCACTCTACATGCTACCATGCGTAATGGTGCATTTGAGGTGCGATGCCTTAGTGCCTGAGATGCTGTTCAATATGAATGGTGCAGCAATGCAATTCCGCTACGGTAACGCACTCTACAACAGACGTATGTTTCAGCCCTAAAGGCAAACCCAATGTGACAGGATGAATACACATTTCAAAACATTAGTTTGTCTGTCAAAGGATTTGCAATGCTGTGCAGCCCATCTTGTGATCCAGATACCTATGTCATACAGCACAGCCAGGTTCCCTAACCTCCAAGGCAGTAACAGCAGTACGGCTTGGTCAGTAAATCACACCCTGCCTACAGATTAGCCATTGATAGTGCAGTGGCATATTGATCAGGTCATAGCTCTGCCCTTACCTCTTGTTAGACACATGTGCACTGCGGCAGAGCTTTATTGGCTCCTAGTGTTGACCTGCACTCTCCCACATCCGAGCACCGCTATGCAGGGGATTAGAGGAGGCGGATCAAAGCAAATGTATGCACTTCCACTAGTTTCATTTAAAGTAAAGGCATTTATCATTAAACCCTGTGTCCCCTAGCAATAATGCTGTATATAAAAAGGACCAAAATGCTGGCATTAATTACATTTTCTTGATTTTAAGTATTGGGCACATGGCGCTTGCTCTAACAACTGTAGTGGGCAAGACTGTGAACAGGGTGGAAGGTGTACCCGCTGTGACGTCACCGTTACGTCCTGTGCTGGAGTTATTGTTACAACAGTGGTTGGCAGAGTGCGGAGAGTACAGGCATACTGTAGTCCCACAGTGAGGGCGCAAACAAAAGGGTGACAACCCCACCACAGTTTGTAAGGCAGTGAGTGAGCATTGTCATGCTAAAAGAGGAAGTCAACTTGCAAAAAACAAATGATTTCTAAAACGTAAAAAACAATAACTGGTTGCCCAATAGAATCTGATAAGTAAAGTATGAAGATGCAGTGATTGTGCAGAGAAAAGCTACTTTTTTAATTGTCCGTTTTCTTTTTAATAGACGCTCAGCACCAGCCCAAACTTCACTCTCTGGGATTCAGCTGCAGAGGGGACCACTGCTTTATGTATGGAAACAGCGGCCTGACGAAATCTGACATGCCCCTGTGAATCTAGAGCTCTCCAATCAGCAGGAAACATGAGCTTCGCTGATTGCACAAGTTTACCTTTCACTCGCATGTGGGGCAGTGGCAGAGAGCCCACTCTTTCCACACAGAAAAGTAATCTTTGCATGCTGGGGGAGTGAAGTTTGGGCTTGGGTTCTAATAAAGTGTGTATCTGAGCAAAATAAAAACAAAATTATTTCATACATCACTCCAATACATGCACATTTGCCTGTTTTGTCTCTTTATAATTGCTGCACAACATTACCCGTTGGTCTTGCTAAAAATTCAATAAGCTTCTAACGGAGCTGACAACTCTGCCTCTGGTGTATTAAAAACCCAAGCTGTGTTGTCAGCTCTGCCCATTTATCCCATTTTGTTATAAAGATGAGAAGAGAAAGAGGGGTTTTGTAGTCCAGCAAACAAGAACTGGACAACACTAGGGCTGCAACAACTAATCGATTAAATCGATAATAATCCATTATTAGAATAGTTGGCAACTATTCTCATTATCGATTAGTTGGTTTGGGAGAGAGAGGGAGAGAGATTATTTTCATAATCGATTATGAAAATAATCGTTAGCTGCAGCCCTAGACAACACTGCTTGGATTGTCAGCACAGCAGAGGCATAGTCGTCAGCTCAAACAGATGTTAAGAGCTCGATGATTTGCTGTACTTGCAGCACTTTTAAAGAGACAGCATTTTTTTTTTTGCGAACTTGTTTAAACCTTGAGAGCTGGAGTCTTCTGCAAGATATCGAGCAGGAACTGTGTGCGCAGGATGGCGATGCTGTCTGTAGGGTGGGCCGGAAGTGCTTGGAACCCAGTTCCCGGGCCCCGTGGAAAGAGCTGTTCAAACAGGCGGGTCACGACTTGCAGGCTTGGGGTGAGAAGGGTCAGGACGCGGGTTCCGTCCAGCACACTGTCCCCTAAAACAAAACAGACAGATACCCTCAGATCTTCAGCACACTATATATGATTGCTATTGTTCACAAGTGTACCCATAAACCGGCCAATTTTCGGCAAGATAAGGCCAACTTTACCAGATCTTATAATATGAGCCCTACAAGAGGTACAGGATGATCTGCTTTGGAATTCCTTCAACTCCTGTAAACAGTTTGATGTGAACCAGTCACCTTATGTATATAGGCCAAAGTGACAGGGTCTGTTTAAAGCCCAGTTCAAGGCTCTGCCCTCTGCTCTCCCTAGAAGCACCCCACATGTTATTTTATATTTAAAAGTAGTATTTGCTTTTTTTTTATCCTTACCATTTCCAGGTGCCTTTAGGCTGGTCAAGTGAGGTGCAGGGTCCGCTCCCTGCCGTAGGCAGTCCTTAGTGATGCAGAGAGCAGTGCTGCCGTAATAATGTCAGCACCACTCTCTACATCATTACACTGGGAGTTCAAGGCACTAGGAAAATGCCCTCAAAGGGGGGCGGGATCATGACACCCTGCACTCTCCATATGTAGGAGAAGGCTGAGCACACCTAGTGGCTGAAAGGGAATACTGCAGGAGGCAGCACTGAAGTGAAGGGGTGTATTGCAGCCTGCCCTGTTTTTTTTGTAACCGCCTAAAGGAAATTATGATTAAAAAAAGTTAGCCCAGAGCTAGGCTTTAATACCCTGCCTTCGACATCCCCAATACCTTACACCAACCTTCACATCAAGCCTTCCTTAATCTCAGCTGCTGCAAAATTCCACGGTGTCAGCGTTACGTGGAAGCGGCAATGTCACCTCTCTGTGAAAGTACTTAAGTCTAGTGACAAGACAAATAGCCCCGCCCCTCCTATAGCCCCCGGAATGCATCAGCTCAGTAAACAATCTGTTTTTGGAAGACTCTATATCATTATCCCTACACAATCCAAGGTGAATGTGGAAATCCTTTGCTGTGCAGAAGTTGCCAGTCCAATAATCAAATTCTCTATAGCTACAACACAGCCATACATTTGGATGAGGATGATGATGATGATAACATTTAAATAAAATGGGTTCTAATGTCAAAAATTTCTCAAGCACCCCGATACTCAAAAGCACCAGGTAATTCGTATTGGCAGCCAAACTAACGCCAAGAGCAGAAGTACTCCGTTTCCAAGTTGAAGGTCATGAACTGGAATAGCCCAAATGATAAAATTCAAAATATTAACAATGACTTACAAAGCCATCCACAACTCTGCCCCCAGTTATATCTCCAACCTTGTCTCAAAGTATCACCCTAACCGTCCCCTACGCTCTTCAAAAGACCTTCTGCTTTCCAGCTCCCTCGTCAACTTCTCCTATGCACCCCTCCGGGACTTCTCTAGAGTATTTTCCATCCTCTGGAACACTTTACCTAAACCTGTCCGTCTGTCTCCCACTCTGACTGCCTTTAGGCGATCCCTTGAGACTCATCTCTTCAGGGAAGCCTATCCCACCTCACCTGACCACTCAACCATCGCATTCTCAAACAATTTATCCCCACACAGCTACCTCCTCATGTAACATTGGCCCCTAACTGTTAGATTGTAAGCCCTCAGGGGCAGGGCCCTCCTTACCATCTTGTCTTGTATTGTGATTGTAATGTCTTCCTTGTATTGTAAAGTGCTGCGCAAACTGTTGGCGCTATATACATCCTGTATAATAATAATAATAATTCACCAAAGTCCACAAACTGTGTTTGGATATCAAACTTGCTTTTTAGGCGCAGGCAGTGCTTGTACTCACCATGGTCCCGCAGAAGCTGAGCGAGAGCCTGCACCATCGACTCCGGAACCTCAGTCCTCATTTACCGGAAGCTGGTAATGACCAAAAACCAGAATAAGGATTCACAACGAAAACTGCATACTTCGCATACACATTTATCCTTCAAAGGCTTTGTATGAAAGTGTTTGTCCGGATTTCATTGAGCAGTCAGGTCATTTGAGATGTAACTGGCTGAAAACTGGTAAATGAGGGCTTGCGAGATTAAGACTTCAAATCAAAACTGACACAGAGGACTGGTAGATGCAGATAAGGACCGAGATCTCTTACCAAGCTTACTATAAGCCCAGCATGCTAACAACATTATCACAGAAATTAGAGCATCAAACTTATTTATGTATTGTCATGTGCTTTGTATGTATTGACGATTGCTGTCCCAATCATGGAGCTGTGGGAGGGGATTTTAGCTGAATTCATTAAGAAGTAATTAGCCATGAATAAGGCCGTTTAGGCTGAATGCGTAAACAGTTACTTTGTAAGCAAGATACAATATTGCCAAAAGTATTGGGACGCCGGCCTTTACAAGCACATGAACTTTAACGACATGCCAGTTTTAGTCCGTAGGGTTCAATATTGAGTTGGCTCCGCTCTTGCCGCTATAACAGCTTCAACTCTTCTGGGAAGGCGTCCACAAGGTTTAGGAGTGTGTCTATGGGAATGTTTGACATTTGTGAGGTCAGGTACTGATGTTGGAGGAGAAGGTCGGGCTCGCAGTCTCCACTCTAATTCATCCCAAAGGTGTTCTATGGGGTTGAGATCAGGACTCTGTGCAGGCCAGTCAAATTCGTCCACCCCAAACTCCCCCATCAATGTCTTTATGGATCTTGCTTTGTGCATTGGTGCGCAGTCATGTTGGAACAGGAAGGGGCCATCCACAAACTGTTCCCACAAAGTTGGGAGCATGAAATTGTCTTAGTATGCTGATGCCTTAAGAGTTCCCTACACTGAAACTAAGGGGCCAAGCCCAACCCCTGAAAAACAACCCCACACCATAATCCCCCCTCCACCAAACTTTACACTTGGCACAATGCAGTCAGGCAAGTACCGTTCTCCTGGCAACCACCAAACCCAGACACGTCCATCGGATTGCCAGACAGAGAAGCGTGATTGGTCACTCCAGAGAACACGTCTCCACTTCTCTAGAGTCCAGTGACGGCGTGCTTTACACCACGGCATCCCACGCTTTGCATTGCACTTGGTGATGTAAGGCTTGGATGCAGCTGCTCGGCCATGGAAACCCATTCCATGAAGCTCTCTACGCACTGTTGTTGTGCCAATCTGAAGGCCACACGAAGTTTGGAGGTCTGTAGCTATTGACTCTGCAGACAGTTGCCGACTTCTGCGCACTGTGCGCTTCAGCATGCGCTGACCCCGCTCTGTCATTTTACGTGGCCTACCACTTCCTGGCTGAGTTGCTTTTGTTCCCAGTTCCTTCCACTTTGTTATAATACCACTAGCAGTTGACAGCTGAATATTTAGTAGCAAGGAAATTTCACGGAACACCTGAATCCAAACATTTGGAGGAGGAGGGGCCCAATATGTTTGGCAATATAGTGTATATTGTTAAATAAAGCAATATTGGAGGAGATGTTGCTGGCATTTGTTTCCTGCTTGCTGCAGTGATCCTTGGAAGGGTCCACCACTGTGGACAAGTTTGGGGGCGACATGGGAGGTAGAGTGGTGTGCCTTTGATGTTGTATCTACAAAACATGTCATGTGAGAATCTTCAACAAGCTAACCTATTTATATCCAAACAATCCCTTACACTGCATATCTTTTGGTATGTCTAAAGGAGATTTTGCAAACAGACTGTGGGGTGTGTGGTCAGATAAACAATTAGGAGTCTAGTTTAGGGCTGCAACAACTAATCAACATAATCGATGATTGAAAAAGTTGTCAACTTTTTCAATCATCGATTAATCGGCTTCCGATTACTTGGCCCTGTTCACGGCTCCACACATGCTGCGCGAAACACCTCCTCCCCACCTCACGCTCGCCGCTGCCAGACCCGCCTGCCCGCATCCACGCCGCACCTCCTCCCAGCCTCACGCTCACCACCCGCCCACATCCACGATCTGCACAGGGACGCAGGGAGAAGAAGTAAGGAGGAGCAGGTGTGGGGGGTGTAGTATATTATACAGCACAATGTACCATCAGCTATAGAGTAATACAAATCCCAGCAATACATTACACACTGTATGTATAATATATTGCTGGGATTTGTTGTATTCCTATATAGCTGGTGGTATTCTGCATTGCGCTGTATAGGAGGACTACAAATCCCAGCAATAATACATTTTACAGCGCAATGCAGAATACCACTAGCTATAGGAGGACTACAAAACCCAGCAATAGTACATTATACAGCGCAATGCAGAATACCGCCAAATGTTTTCATTTCACTATATTGCACACCACACTTTTTTTTTCTTTTTTACTTCCATCACTCCAAGCTTCCTCCTGTGATGGACTACAATCTCAATACAAACTAGTAGTCCATCACTGGAGCCATTTTTTAAAATGTATTTTTTTTTTAAATCCGATTAAATCGAACGTAATAGTCGGCTAACTAATCGATTTTAAAAATAATCGTTAGCTGCAGCTCTAGTCTAGTTCTAAATCTTAAGCGTAGCCATACGCTGGGTGAATGACATTTGCATGGCTCTCCTGCCGCTGGATGGAGCCAAGGAGCATGGGAAGATGATTTTTAAATAGACCCTTTAGTGTCTGCTATACTTCCTTTGACGCTAGTCATATGCTGGTCACGTGTTACAATCTGATTATACAATCTTCTATAGATCAACTAAAACTATGAAATGTGAGAGTATCCAGAACATTCCATTCCAGTTCTATCCAACCAGAGCCAACATTATACCATTCATAAATCTAAAGACTGTACAATCAGACTGTAATGTCTATGGCCAGCTATGGGTCTCGGATGAGGGCCAAATATGTCAGCCCTAATGGACTGTTGAAAAATACTTTTTGCAACACGCATGATGACAATGGTCATATGACCATTTAAGTTATGCCTTCTTAGAGAAGAGAAAGTCACCGAGAGCAGATATGGCCAGTTAATCTAGACCGAAGAATGACAACTGCACAAAGGTTTCCAACGCTGTCTAGTTAATCCTCCCCAGAGCCCCTCTGCCGATACCATAGACCAGCTATTCCCAGAGGATCCCTGAGCCGTGGTTGATTGACCACCTATTTGATGGTGCCTGCATAGTTCCCAGTCCGTCATCATTTGGCAGAGCCAGCGGCACTACACCAATTATCTTTTTAGCGGTCTGTAAGGGTGCTATTCTGAAGACCACCGTAAGGAGGACATTCTTCCATCTGTCCACCAATGTAAGGGGGCATTTTAAGCCTCGACTCCCATTAAATTGGTGTCTGCAGGTATTCAGAGATCTGAAAATTATTTCAAGGCTTCCTCTGGGGTAGAAAGGTTGAGGAAGGCTGCCAAAGACATCTCTGGTCAGGGGTCAGCTTACTTCTATGGAGGTCATTGAGTTTGTTGAATAGGAAAAACACCTGGCTTTATCACACGGATAACAATTTGCTCTGTAGACACCAACTCGTTATTTAGGAAAATAGAACTTTGCCTCCATTGGTATACAATGCATCCTGTTATCTAAATAAGTGAGGAGGGATCAACCAGGTTTAGAAATAATCAGCACTTTCCTGACAATGAACCAACTGCACAATAAATGGTAACAACCCCCCCCCCCCCCCCTTTCCCCTCCAAAGAACATGGGGCAGGGCCAACCAAAGGAATCCAATGCAATTCTTCAATTCGCAGCTTGCTCACTTAAAATGTATCTCAAACTTAAAAATATATATATAGTTTTAAAGTGCAGAAAGGTTAGAAACTAGTATTTTATTGCTGTCTGTGTCCAGTCTACTTGTCAGAAATGGGAAATGCACCATTTTACAGTCACAGGAACAGGAGGGGGGAGGTAAAATTTCCCAATGGTGACACTCGTGCAGAAGAAAATTTCCCTCATTTTGGAGAGATTACCCATTATGTTTCTATAGCAGGTTGGTGGTCAGCGGGAGGAATAAATGGTCTAGCATGTGTGGTTAGTGGGAGGAGGAACACTGCCCCATTGTAGTTGTCAGAATAGTCAATGGTCAGATGATCAGTCCTTCCAGGATCAGATCTGAAGGAGGCATTGTATGCCTCATTCCTCCATCGTTTCACTAGGTCCTAGGAAACAAGCACTGCAACTTGCGGTCAGCAATCACCTGCTCCATCTCCGTCTCTGTTTCTGGGACTACAGACTAATTAGGATTTGCTTTTGTAGCTCCAACAGACTCAGTAATGCAGAATAATTATATCATTACCTTCCCAGCTCTGGGCAGGGAAATGGGAACACACGCATGCAGATCAATAAGATACAATCAAGCGCTGAGCAATAATGTGATGTGTCACATGACAACACAGGAACCCAGTTTCAGTTTCTGTAACCCAGAGAACCCATAGAGCACAGAAATACACAGACATGGTGCTTAAATTACCTTTTCCAGAGTCACACGTTGTTGTGCTCCCTCTCAGGTCACCTGCAGTTTCCTGTGGCTCCAATTCCTTTCTTGCCCCCCTTCCCCAGCTAACGGGGAAGCAACACTATCAATGTTTGCCAACACTCCCCGCTTCCGGGTTCCCAGTCTAGTGAAGGGGACTGAAGCCACAGGGCATTACTTCCGCCTCTCGGCTACCATAGAGCGCGGGGAGAAGACAGAAAGGCAGTGAAGCGAGCTTTTCTGATGACTACCACAGTAATGACACTTTGGATCAGATAGCTCAGGTTGGGAGGACTGGAGGGTAGCTAGCGTTCTGCAACTGCTGATCTGTAATAAGTCACATATGAATGTTTAACCATTTCCCTTCTGGAGCATTTTTTTTTTCCATTTCTCACACATGTTCTGCATTTTTGGCTAGAAAATTACTTAAAACCCAACAAAAGATGATATATTTAATTTTTGTTAATAGATAGCAAATAGATCAAGCCTCAAAACTGTGTGTGCGCTGCAAAAAAATGACGGTAACTAAAATTATTAGTAGGCCATGCTTTAAATGCCTGTACAGCTCATCAGTTCAGAGCCAACCATAAAAAGGGGGGCCAGGAATTGTTTCTCCGGGGTAAGCAGCGATACCCAATATGTGTTGTACAATCGTTAACATACAAGCAGGGCTGGATTTCCCACGAGGCCATCCACGGCCCAGCCTTGGGGCAGCAGGGAGTAGAGGGGCAGCAGGGGTGTGGAATTCCTATCTCCCGACACCCGGGACATGCAGTTTTAGGCGCCAAGTGGGTAGTTGTTTTTTACATTTAGCCCTGCTTTGGGCAAGCAGGGCTAGATGTACAGCGGGGAAGCTGCTGCTTGTTTTGTACAAATGATCTTGGCGATGTCGAGATCACTTGTATGCAGCCTGCATACAGGGGGGTGCATTAAGGAACCTGGCATTGGGGCAGCAGAGAGAGCAAATCCGGCCCTGCATACAAGTTTGCATTTGTATGTGTGTGCGCAGGATGATGGGGATGCTTTTTTAAAACATTTTAACACTTTTTTCTCCACTTACCTTTATCGTTATCACAAGGGGGATAACAAGCCCCATGGGTGAAAGCAATGGGCAAGTGACAGGTACTCTTTATGGAGACATCAGGGGTCTTTGAGGCCAGGTTCACACCTGGGAGATTTGTGACCGTGCGACAATCGTGCACGATATCGCGGACGATCGTGCTGTGGGTGCCATTATTTTCCAATGGCACCCCAGTCGCGCCAGGAAGATAGCGTGGTTTCGAGCTAAGGTTTCCAGCTGCGATTCCACCCATGCAACCGAACACGATCACAGCTAAAACATCTGCGTGTCGTGTATCACAAAAAAAAAGGTGCATGTACCTTTTTTCTGCGATTGCCGCGCAAGTGTACCCCATTGAAATCAATGGGGCCAAGAGGGGCAACCGCTGTCTGCAATTGTGCACCACCACACGATCCCGGGACGCGCGTCCCGGATCACTCAGGTCTGCACCGGCCCTCAGACTCCTGGTGTCACCCGTGCCCTCCGCTCCAACCAAATGAGCCTAGGACTATGTTTGATCTGCATCCGGAAATGCTCAGAGCTGAGGGCTCCCGCATGTACACACTGCAGAGGACATCGGGGAACAAATGTTCCTCAATGGCCTCCCACTCACCAGACCTGACTGTGGTTGTTGTTGTCTCAAGCACATGAGTTATTTATTTACACTGCTTGCATTAAAACAGGGGTGGGCAATTCATTTTCTTGAGTGGCCACATAAGAAATTGGGACAGCTGTGGGGGGCCAAACCGATTAGCGCATGGTGCAGCATAACGTGCAATCAACTGCACGACACCAGCGGTCCTAGCAACCAGTGACTGCAGAGGAGGAGGACCCCTGCTGTCATTAGTTGCTAGGATCAGCCAGGGTCCTAGCAATTAATGACTGCAGAGGAGGAGGACCCCTGCGGTCATTGGTTGCTAGGATCAGCCAGGGGTCCTAGCAACCAATGACTGCAGAGGAGGAGGACCCCTGACATCTAGGGTTGCCACCTGTCCAGGATTCACCCGGACAGTCTGGTTTTTAAATCTTGTGTCCGGGTTTCCAGCCAGCTGACACCCGGACACAAGACAGTAAGTGCCAATACTAGCACTTTATATTTTTTGACAGATGCGGCTGTCGAGGTCCCCAGCGAGCGCTGGACCTCAGGCGGCCGCATCTGACTGAAGCTGCATCTTCCTGTAAGCCACGAGTGCCTGTAAACAGCCCGCACATCATCTCCTCGGTCACGCTGCCCGCCTCCGAACCCCTGATAGAGACACCGCACAGCACTCCTGAAAGCCTGCATAGCCCACCTGAGAGCGCGCACAGCGCACCCCAGAACAATTCAGAGCATATGTAGCTACTTATTCTTTTGTATTGCTATATAATATATTGCTGGAATTTATAGTGCTCTATAGCCGGTCTCCTCCCCTGGCTGTCTCTTCTTGCTCTTTCTCCTGGCTGCCTCTCCTCACTCTCTTCGCTAAATTCTCCCCAAAAAAGATAAAAAATTGCCGCTTGCAGCGCTAGAGTGGTCGGGTTTCACTTAAAGAAAAGGTGGCAACCCTACTGACATCATTGGTTGCTAGGATCAGCCAGGGGTCCTAGCAACCAATGACTGCAGAGGAGGAGGACCCCTGACATCATTGGTTGCTAGGACGCCAGCCCCTGATATAAACAATTGAGGAAGCTTGATTAAAAAGAGACCTGGGTGGGGGGATTCTGGGTTAAATTAAGGGAGAGCTGGATTTTTCTTCAGTATTGTTGTCCTTTGAGCAGAGATGCTAATCTCATTTTCTGATATACACATAAACACTTGAGGCAGCTTTTACTACAATGTAAATTGGATATGAAATGCAGTACAAATGATCAAAATGGGGAACAGTAAGCAGGCTGACAGGAATGTGTTAGCATAATACCTCGAAGCATGTACTAAAGATTCCCTTGCTTTGTTGTGAAGCTAATGCTGATTGGTTGCTATGGGTTACTGCGCTAGCTCCTTGTGTTACTTGACTGAATACAATATATATATTGTGGTATTGTGTGGCAGCCCCAGATGGGCTGAGAGGTGTCAGAAGCAGGGGTTTGTTCGGTTTCTTGGGATCTTGGAACTGGAAGGTTTCAAGGTGATTCAGGAGGGAAGAAAGCTCCAGTCCTGGGTCCAGGGTTTAGCAGTGACCTGCACTAGATGATTGCACAGGTGTGCACAGCCCTTAAGGGAAGGATGCTGACTAGGGGAATTAGCTCCTGCTGGGAAATAGGAATAGACGGTGTTCAGGGGTCAGGAGGACTCCCCCAGAAGTCAGAGAGGAGTCAGGTGGGCTCCTGCTGGGAAATAGGAACTGACAGTGTTCAGGGGTCAGGATGACTACCCCAGAAGTTAAAGTGGAGTCAGGTGGTGTGTGTGCTGGAAGCAGACGAAGACAGCAAGGGAGGCTGGGAGAACTGGTGAGGCTAGGAGAGCCGTGAGCCTGAGCGGCTGCAAGTACAAGTGTGGGCCATCACTTCGAAGAGGACCAGTGGGTCAGAAGTGGTAATGTTTAAAGTGGAAGCCAGGAGTCTAAACTTGTGTTACGTTGCAAGTATTGCATGGATGTTATGCTGAACAACCCCCGCGAAGGTATCCAAGGTGGATGTATGAACTTTCATTTGAATAAAAGTGGGCTACCAGGCCCTTCAACAGAAGATATTGCGAGTGGACTGCATGATCCGTATAGTGCTCACCATATGTGCTGCTAATATCCCCAAACATCACAATGTATACAGCATACTGTATATGACGAGTGGAGTTTTCTGCAATTTCAAAATATTTACACCACGTAGAATTCCAGCCTACAAATTCATCCACTACACAAACCAAATGCCGAGGAACACCTAATTTGCATTTTCTGTATAGGTTTTCCATGATGCTTTCCCCCTGCTCAGTTTAGCTGCCTGGGAGCAGGTCTGACGAAGGCGTCCCAAAACCCCACGTCCATTCATCATCGCTGTTCTGTGACATTGAATGAAGTGCAGGAATAGCTAGAGGCCCCAGTGATCGATCAATCCCTGACTGATCAATAATTACAGCAAGAGTTGATATTGATCTGGCTTAGTTCAACTACAGTTACATTAGTGCCAAATATATAACGTATCTGAAGCATAAGATAAATTGATGATGTCTATTATTTGGAGATACAGTTATCATATACTATGGCTAAATAATATGGTCTGGACTGGTCTTCTCCCTCTCGTGTTCTATGGCTTGGACAGAGTGATAGGGAACCATCTCATGTGTTACTCAACAACCTAAAAAAAGAGCCCGTGCCATTGACTTTCACCACTCACCCCCCGAGATGAGTTGAGGAACGTCATGGAAATCCATCTACGTTTCCTCAGGGCATGGAGAACTCAATAGGACAGACGGGTACTGACACTCAGATAAGATACAGACAGCAAACTGAGAGGTTGGAGACAGTCAGAACATCTAGACCATCAGGACAATTTAGGATTAGGGAATAAGCCAAATTATGAATTTAATTAGCTGAAGAAGGTAGAATAGGTAAAGGCCAAGTATGACCATTGCCTAACTTTAGTTAGTTTATCTCCAAGCCATCATTCCAGTTCAACTAGGGAGGAACAGAGAGGGAATTGGGTAACTTTTAAGGTCATTTGATCTGGGGTTGCCATTGCCTACTGACTGCAAGCACTATGTCTTGCACCATCACTTGGCTTCAGGTCAGGTGAAGAGGTCCACCTGTGATATGTGGACATTGTTGGAATGGTCAAAATTTTGCTTTGGCTTCTTGGCTTTGAGTTTGAGTAGCTGACCCTTTAACAAGCTTTAACACGACTACTATATAGAAAAAGGAGACAGTTGAAAAGAATTGTATAGTTTGATTTCATTGGAGGTTGGATAGTCAAAATAAGATGAGAACCATACAGGAAGGCGATGAGAGTGAAGCGAAGGAGGAAGCCACCAATGAACTGACCAGAAAAGAAAGCTCTAACCGAAACATGAGAAATTCGGTGGGTTATGAGGACTTTGAAGAGTTTGTCCTGAACTTTGAGGATTATGACCTTTGGGAATCTATCAAGAACCATCTCACCCACCCTGACGGAGACAGCATTGGTAAGTGGAGAAGACTACTTTGTTATGCTTAAATGAATGTTTCATTTTAGCAACCTTTTTTTTTTTAAATGTAGACCTGTCATAGGAGAAATATGTGGGCTGCCGTCTCTGGTTTCCTTTTAAAATGCTAGTTGGTTGGCTGTGTTTGGATTCAGCACTTGCAGGCTTATCATAAGTGTGCAACAAATAAACTTCTGTGTGACTTCTATCTCTATACTTGTTCCTGGTTAGTGACTACTTATTTTCTCTGGCTAGGCATACGGTACTTTAAAGGGGACAGATAAGGAAAGAAAATATCTGCCTTTGCCAAATTATTTTTGAAGACAAGCTCTGGGGCCATCATCCTCATGTTTGCTCCACTACTCTCTACTGAGTTCAGAGGGTGCAAAATTTGTTCTAGGTGATTGACTCACTGTGTAGGAAAGCAAAATAAAGGATGAGATCCCTGGAGTTTGAACTTTGAAACAGCTGATGGAGCAGATTATGAGTGCCACTATATTTACATGTTTGGGGAATGGAAAGGTTCATTTTATACCTGGAAGTAGAAAGCCTCTTTTAGTGAGAAATATGTACCGTATTTGCCGGCGTATAAGACGCCCCCCTACTTTTTGTGTTAAAATAGGTTTTGGGCTATAGTCGTCGTATAAGACGAGTATAGCCCAAAATAATGTTTAAATGCACCCACTAACATCCATGGCGGTATTCCCCAGTGCCACACTCGGGAATACCGCCATGGATGTTAGTGGGTGCATTTTCAGGGGTTAATTTTCAGTACCATAAGCGGTAACCCCGAGCAAACACTCAGGATTACAGTCTCTTACCTTGTCCACGATCCCCGATGTGTCCTCCGTCTTCCGTCCCTTGCGAGCGTCCTGCGTCGCAGGGAGGCGGAACCGTGGCAATTTTAAAAGTAAAAAAAAATAGAGCAAAAAACGACAAAATAAAATCATCAGACCGCCAGGGAGGCTAATCTGTCAGCCCGCTGGATGTGTGGTAATACTGTATGTACGGTAGCTTCGGCTACATAAAGTAATTGTATTAATGAATACAGGCTTTGTATTCATTAATACAAAGCCTGCCGTGATTGGCTCAGCGCAGTATACTGTATGTAGCCGGAGCTACATACAGTATACAGTATACCACATCCATACCCGGCATATAAGACGACCCCCGATTTTCGGGCGATGTTTTTAGGTCTCAAAACCCGTCTTATACGTCGGCAAATACGGATAATAACAGGCTTGCTTTTGCTTTAGTGGACCCTATGGCATGACACATTCCCTATGCAAAGAATACTTATGGAATTTTTCTTAGCTTAGTAAACAGGCATATGTAAAATTATCCTAGTGACAGTGGGATGAAAAAAATGCTGCACGTTGGTAGAAGGAAAAAAATCCCTAGCATTGGTGGCTCATCGATGAAATAAATACCCCAGTGTTGGTGCTTGGTAGGAGCAAAAATGCACCAGCGTTGGTGGTCAGTAAGAGAAAAATTTACCAGCGTTGGTGGTCAGTAGAGAAAAATGTACCAGCGTTGGTGGTCAGTAGAGAAAAATGTACCAGCGTTGGTGGTCAGTAGAGAAAAATGTACCAGCGTTGGTGGTCAGTAGAGAAAAATGCATCAATGTTGGTGGTCAGTAAGAAAAAATTGTACCAGCGTTGGTGGTCAGTAGAGAAAAATGTACCAGCGTTGGTGGTCAGTAGAGAAAAATGTACCAGCGTTGGTGGTCAGTAGAGAGAAATGCACCAGTGTTGGTGGTCAGTAAGAGAAAAATGCACCGGTGTTGGTGGTGAGTAGAAAAAACACCCTAGTGTCAGTGGTCAATGGGAAGAGATTCCTCACCCTTTGGGGTAAGTAGAAGGAAATATGCCCTAGTGTTGATTCTTTAAGTCTTGCACAGTTTTGCTCGACAGCTCTCCAATTTTGTGGCACAGCTTGGCCTGAGCCTGCTCTTTGACATTTATGGCAAACATCTTGGCCCGAGGCTGCTCTTGGATGTTTATGGTAGAGAATATAGACAAAAGACTGCCTATTCAATTTTATGGTGGGACATATCCTGGACCTACAGCACTGTGGGATTCTGTGCAAATACTGGGACAGTCCCATGGGGTATGGGGCAGTAAAGGGCCATAAGCAGATACATGCAGGACAGAATCCTCTGTTTTGGGCAGAGTCCAGGAGATTCTGGTCTTCCCTGCTGACAAAGACCTATGTGAGGAGATTCTCTATCCAGTGCAGCCATGAAATGTTTTGAGACTTGCATTGAGTTACCAGCCTTAAAAATACATGCCCATGAGGGTCCAGCAGCATGCCTATCCATTATTCTGCTGCCTTTTTAATAGATACCCTCTATAGGTTGCAATAGTATACCACTCTTAGTGTGGTTTGCTTCAAGCCACACAAATCACCCAATCTTCTTATCTAAACCAAGTTTCATCGATCTATTTATAAGCACAGTCATCATTGGATACAAAATGGCTGCCTGCCTTCAGTGATGTCATTGGCTTTTAGGGTATCCCTAGAATACTGACTCTGCTGAGAAAATGGCTGCCCTTAACGTATGTTGCATGGTCAATGGATGCAGTTAAACCAAACACACAAGATTTCAAAATGTTTATTAGGAAGGTGTGTATATAATCATAAAAAGCTATCTGTATTCTATTTCTTTTTGTTTCCACTAACAAACAATAGTTGTAGATATGTACTTTGTTTTATCTATATTTTGCAAACGTGTATTCATTTTCTAAGGCTAAGTGCAAAGTTTGCCCACTGCATCCACCCAGATATTACATTGTCATAACTGCTCCACACTAATGAAAGGTGAAGCGGGATTTGCTTGCTGTGGGCTATGGCACCCCATCTCTCTTTGCTCTGCTTGGCTAGATAAGCCTGGTAGGCTTTATAGATGATCTGTATGCGTTATTTATAACTATACTTATTTTGGTTGTCTGCTTTGTGTAGTCCTGAATCTGGAGGAACCTCCGGCGCTGCGCAGACAGATGGTGAAAAAGTGTTGGGGAAGCAGGAAAGAAGGCACTGTAGTCCCCTCACCGATGAACTGGAATAAGAAAAAAACTGAACGGAAAGGACCCCATGAGGTGATATTACAACTTTCATGACTGCATACTTTGTCCATATGCGTGACTCTCTCTATATATATATATACTGTATATTGACATGCACTGCAGGGTACAGTCAGTCCTGCTCTTATCTACGAGAGCACCAATAGTGGAACATATGTATTGGAACAATAGTGGAAGCATCATGTGTATGCACCATCATTACGAAGGTGCATACACATGAAAAGTAGACATGTGCACTGCCAAAAAATTCGTTTCGTTTTAAATTTGGATTTGTGTTATTTATTTTTTCAGGATTCGGGTGTGAAAGTCAATTCGGATTCGGAATTCGGATTCGGACGAAATTCGGTAGCGTTAGTACGAACGTTCGTTTCGTTTTCTGTTCTTATTCGCTTCTTATTCGTTTCTTATTCATTTCGTTCGTTTGCAGCAAAAGTGACATTTGAGGGGGAAAAAATATTTTTCTCCTCTAATGTCACTTTGCTCCAACGAACGAAACGAATAAGAAACGAATAAGAACAGAAAACGAAACGAACGTTCGTGCGAACGCTACCGAATTTCGGAAATGGAAATTCGGATTCGTTTGCATTCGTTATGTCTGTAATTCGGAATTCGGATACATCCGAATGTCCGAATTTACGAAAATTCGTCCGAATTTCGATTCGGAACGAAACGAATCGCACATGTCTAATGAAAAGCCCAGACTTGCAGAAAAAAGGTTACTGATGGTCTTCCATTATTATTATACAGGATTTATATAGCGCCAAGAGTTTGTGCTGCACTGATCACATACACATAAGAAGTCTTCATTTGCCTTTTTGCAAGCATAAGATACCATATAAGATACTACCGGTATTTGGTGACTCAAGCTAGGAAAGGCCACCTGAAGGTTTAGAAAAAAATTTTCTCCACTTCTTTCCTCCCCCAGGACTTTGAATATAGGACATAGGTACCTACAATATTGCTGTCCCCTAAGCTTCACTGTGTGGCCTGCCTGGTGCCGCACGGCTTCTTGCACAAATTTTTCAAAACTCTTCAAAGCTGTAATAACAAGTGTGTGTGTAGTTGTCCATTTCGGTTACGGTGATTCCATCCCTTTGGAAGACTCCTGCCACCTCTGCTCACACCTACTTTGCTATCTTCCTTTCGTTCTTTCAGGTGTTTGTTGAGCTGAATGAGCTGGTCACTGATGGGGTGCAGGAAATGCAATGGAAGGAGATGGCTCGCTGGATAAAATTTGAGGAGGATGTTGAACAAGAGACATCTCGATGGGGAAAACCTCATGTTGCTTCTCTGTCCTTCCGTAGCTTGCTGGAACTCAGGAAGACAATTGCACATGGTGGGTTTTACAGATCAGTAGGCAGGAGCACTGTGGACACCTGGGTAAAGCAGAAGGCGTTTGCATTCAGACTGTGTCTCTGATCTTAAAAAAATAGCTTTTTAGTTCTTCATATTGAATTAACATTAAATTAACAAATGTTTTACTGTTATAAATTATTCCAAACCTGCAAACATCCTCACAACACTTTTCTAAAGGATGTACATGTTCAGCTTTAAAGTATACTGTATGTATTGTAATGTAAACCCTAACAATCAACAATAAGACTGAATGAAGGAAACTAATACAGCCACCACATCTTAAGGTGCCCATACACCTTACAATTATCTGCAGATTTTCTGTGGTCACATGGAAAAAGTGCACCAGATTGGCCCAGGTGGAGATTACTCCATCCTATGGCCGGCCTTAGGGGTGTGCGAGCCGTGCGGCCGCACATGGAGGAGATCGGAGCCGCTGTCATCCTGTCAGTTTCAGGATGACCGCGGCTCTGTGCGTGGCAGGGCGGGGGATCGGTAAATATCATTGATATTTACCGATCCTCCGTGTGAGAAGGACAAACACCGGAGCGATCGTCTGATCACTCCAGTGTTTGTAAATAACTGGGGACACAAAGTGCTATGTGTCCCCAGTTATGAATGAACAGGCTGTGATTTACATCACGGTCTGTTCATTCAAGATTTCCTCAATGGGGAGAAGCGCTCACTACAGAGGCTCCTCCCCATTAGATGGTGGGCCAATATCGGCGTGTGAGGTCACGTGACGCCACACATGCATGGCGTCATATAACGTCATGCTGCCCGCCTCTATGATGGTGGCACGCATTCACAGAACACGCTGGTGGCCAACATGGCCGCCGCACATTCTCAAACAAATTATTATTATGTGCCTGAATACATTTCTCGTATATTCGGACATATAGTAATTCATTAATTTACATGTAGCCCGGGGTCTGTGTTCTGTTTTTTATTTTTACTTTTCTAGATGCACTTACTTGAAAAAAGGGTCTGCATGACATCCTGACACTTTATTTTTATAGACTCTATTGTAGTTTGACATTTATTGTTTACCTTCTGTTGTTTTATTTGATAAGAATACTTCTATTGCGCCTACAAGTTTAATACCTTTGAATAAAAGTTTTATTTTTATCATACTTTTTTATATGTTTCTTTGCGGCTTAACAAAATAGGAGTCTTTAAATGGTGCGGATATTAGGGGAAATGGGTGTGGTTACGGGGGTGTGGCCACTAAAGGGTGTGGCCACTGAGGGGCGCTGTAAAGCTTTCTCGCACAGGGCGCCTAAAGGCCTAAGGCCGGCCCTGGCATCCACACAGTTAAGTGTAGATGGAGGAATCTGTTGCACATTTTTGATCTGACCACAGAAAATCTGCGGATAATTGTAAGGTGTATGGCCAGCTTAAGGGCTGGTAAGCTGCAATAAATCAGAATTTGCCCACTCACAGTGTATATGTGGTCAAAACATCCTTCCCACTTCTCTCTACTCAATGAAGCACTGTAGGTGTAGCCCATGGCCTTTAGAAGTTCATTCAGTGATCCAAAGTCTGTAGTAGAGGGTATACATTGCATGGGAAGGGCGAGGGGGCAGTTGGACCTATATTATATAAAGTTATATAGTTATATAGTTATAAATTTTTCAAGGTTGCATGAATGCATTGCTCACATGTCATAATATACAGCAATGGTATAGTTTTTTTAGAAAAATGCCATCAACAAAAATCCATCATTAAGCACCAGTCAACGACCTTGCCTAGGCTGAGGTGATGTCATCAGTCTGCTGCAGGCAGGAGGAAGCATTTCCTCATTCTGCTCTCCCCCAGTGATTAGTCTGCTGCAGGCAGGAGGAAGCATTTCCTCATTCTGCTCTCCCCCAGTGATTAGTCTGCTGCAGGCAGGAGGAAGCATTTTCTTCAGTCTCCCCTCCCAGAGTGGTCAGGCTGCAACATTGTAACTTTGTAGCAAGTCACAACGTGAGAGGCTGCAGCAGGGTCTGATCCCTGTCAGACATTTGTAAATACAGGCAAGACCTGCACAGACACCAGGATTTATATGATCTCTGCGCTGGCATCTCAGTCCAGGAATTGGGTGCTGACCCTGGATGATAAATCGACTTTCTGGAGAGAAAAGAAGATGAAGGCATTGTCTGGGATAGAGCTGTGATCTCTGAGAGCGGTAATAAAAACCTGGAAGTGATACAATGACACATCACTTAGCATGCTGCACTTGAAAATATACTGTATATCTGATGCTAGGTCTACTATGAGCTGATGGCTTTCAAATATAGCTACAATCCCAAAAAATAAATATATTTTGTCTTACAGGAGCCATTCTTCTAGACTTGGATCAGACTACTATGCTGGGAATAGCTCAGATGATTGTGGACACAATGGTCGTTTCAGATCAGATCAGAGCCATAGATCGCTCCAATGTCCTGCGCTCTCTCCTGCTGAAGCACAGGTATTATGTACTATCCATCATTATCTTAAATAGCATGAATGGGCTAAATTAGGCTGAATGGTCGTTGACTTCTAAGTGCTTCATTGCATATTGGTATGTATCTCTGGCCAATAAGGACAATATTTTAGTTGAAGAGATATTTGTTGTGCTGTTTGTTGGAGGAGATAGAGTGGAAAAAAATCATGAGGCAAAGGATAAAGACGGCAGGAAAGGAGATCATCCCTTTTATGGAAAGAATGATTTGCTGAATTCTTTTGATATTCTTAACATATTTTCACTCTTTGCCAGCCACCCCAATGATGGAAGAGACTCCCATCATGCTAGGATTAGCACCACATCTGGACTAGGAAACAATGCACCAACCAATAGTCCTCAGGAAGAGAACAACGCCAACAATGCCCACACTGACCCAGACAACAAGCAGGTGAGGGACGACAGCAGATTGAGAACCGTCATCCAGATTTTTCCAGGTGTCTGAAGAGTTGTCCATAATACAACCAATCTGATTTAGGATGGTGTTCATGGAAGGTGATGGATCCCAAATTCATATAAGAACTTGTGGTGCAGAATAGAATATATTGAGTAGAGTACAGTGACTTTGGATAGGCAACTCTCCTACACAAAGTGGCCTTCAGAAGGCGCCTCCAGGGCCGGATTAAGAGCATCATGGGCCTGGTGCCGTCGGTTGGCCGGACAGGAAGCAGCAGAGGCGGCTGCTCACTCCTGGGGCCTCCACGCTGATCATAGACACGCTGGTGCCTTTGCTTGATTGTGTTCAGCCTGGCCAGCCCAGATTGCCATTGGACATACCAAAATGATCTGGGCTGGGTGGGCCTATTTTCAGTGGTGGGCCTGGAGCTAGCACTCCAGTAGCCCCTATGTTAATATGGCCCTGGGCGCCTCATATAAATACAAAGAAGTTTTGGAAGAGAAAGCGGGCCACACCAAAGGTTACAAGTCCAAAGTTGGATTCAAAATTCCCAAATCATTTGAAATTACAATTGGGTGTTATGAAGCAGGATCTCCAAAATGCTTAATAATATAACCTATTGTAGCACTCACCTCCGAAGGAGCCGCCAGAATAATCCGGGTCATCACTAGTTGTCTAGGGGTTTTGGTCTTCAGCTGCCCCATTAGCATCTAATCGCCCTCTTCTAGTGCCCACAAAGCTGATATCCACTCCAGTAGTACAATGCTGAATAACGTTTTACTATGAGTTGGCTCAGCTATAGCCCTAAACAGGAATGCTTGGTCTGCATGAGTGTTCCTGTTTAGATGGGGGGAAGTACAGATGATTCCGGGGCTGATTTATCTGGTGGTAGTCCGCAAATAGCAGTCAAAGTTCTTTTGAGCTGTTTGTAGTCAAGCACTAGGGAGCGACAAAACCATGCTTTAAGAGTCCAAAACAGTACTGTTGATTCCAAAATTATCAAAAAGTTGACAAGAAATAGCCGATGAGTTTTGGGGCTCAACAATCCCTCTTTACTGGGGTTTAAGAAATTCCCTGAACACGCTCAAAAGAACTCTAACTCAGGAGCCTGGGTTTGTGTATCCAATTAAAAAAGAAATGGTTAGTCAGTGGTTGTCATCAATAGACTTTGCAGCGGAACCCCGTGTTTGTGGGTAGCTGCCAATCCTGGGCCATCGGACAGAAACATAGGCACCTCACCAACCTCCTAGAAAACTGTATCCAGCGCCTTGCTCTCATCTTTGACCTGTCCAATTGTTTTGGTGGAGCGAGACATTGGGGACTGCATCACATGCGAGCCTCTCTTAAATGGGACCAGATTAGCAATGTTTGAAAATGTGTAGGAAAACAGATATGAGAGTTGGATTGGTTTTCCATTAAACTAGGGGTAGCCAAACTCTGAACCTCCAGCTGTGGTGAAACTACAAATCCCATGATGCATCTCTCTCTGGGAGTCATGTCTGTGGCTGTGAGAATCTTGCAATGCCTCATGGGATTTGTAGTCCCACCGCAGCTGGAGGGCCGGAGTTTGACTACCCCTGCATTAGACTGTCATCTTGTTCTTTGCTGTCGTGCCCTGATATAGAAAACACTAAACGGTCCAGAAGGTCATCGTCTAAAGCATTGGAAGCTGATGGAGAAGATCCCGGAGAATGCAGAGGCTACTGTCGTGCTTGTGGGTGAGTAGATCACATGATTCTCTCCGTTACATAGAAATAGACGATGTGCCATTCGTTTCGTTCCGAATCAAAATTTGCGCGCATTTTCTGAAATTTGGACATCCAAATTTCCAAATCCCAATGCATCCGAATGCATCCGAATCCGAATTTGCGGTTACGAATCTCGGATCCCGTCTGAATTTCGTTCAAAAAACGAAATTGAATCGGACATGTGACTTTTCTGGCCAATCAGATGTGTTTTTCGATTTAATGCATCTGAATGGGTCTGAATCTGAATTTTCGAATTTCATTTGGGAGCTCCCGAATGCCATTCGGGTCTGGGATCCTCAGGTTTAGTTTTATGTATATATGGGTCACAATGTTGCCGCTACGAATATTCATTCGTATTATAGAATACTACTTACATATACATTATACTAAAACTGATGCTCCAAGACCCAAATGGAGTCCGGATTTCCGAATAGCATTCGAGAGCTCTCAAATGCCATACGGGTCTGGAAGCCTCAGCTTTAATATGGCTTCAGAACCCGTATTGCTTTCTGGAGCTCCCGAATGCAGTTCGGAAATTTGAATGCCATTCGTGTCTAGGAGATTCAGCTTTAGTATTAATATTTGTATATGTTTTTTTCTGTGGTATTCGCAACGAATATTCGTAAACTCATCCGAAACTAACGACAATTCAGATTTCTTCCGAATCTGAAACCCGAACTGAATTGAATTTCGGATCCAAATCCTGACTACCAAAATAACTGAACAGAACCAAATTTTTTCCGCAACTTATATACAGTATATATATATAAGAAGAATATATGAATATATATATAGAAATAAAAAAAGAGCGATGTTCTAAACAAAGGTCAATAGAAGTAAAATGTACATAATAAGAAGAAAGAAAATACAAATTATAATAAACTTTGTTCTGAATTTTTATATAATTTTAGCACTAAAAACTAAAATCACTTTTACATTCTTTTCTGCCTTCTCTACCTGTGTCTTTAACATAAAACATTAAAGTGCATGTCAAATCTAACAATGAACTTCTCTTATTTGCTGCGAATTATACCATTGAGAGTGTTTTATTATGTCTATTTGATAAATGCAAATAAATACCTGTTGATTAACTCAATGATTCAGAGCTCTCCTGTGCACGCTTCTTGTGTTATCTCAAGGAGTCTAATTACCTCTCCCAGTTCTTATCTTGGACTACAGAACAATTAGACCCTTGTTCTATAGAAGAGGGCAGTGAGAAGAGTTCAGTAGTTTAGCAAAAGACAACTAGGCAGGGCTCACACCATTCAGTCCACAAAAATGTGTTGTTAGTTCAGTGCATTTCTGGGAGATCAACAGGTATTTTTCCGTACTCTCAGGGTCTTTAAAAGGATAATACAGGGAGAAATGTGCATGTATTGTAGAGATATCTTTTTATTTTGCCCTGACATACACTTTAAGCTCAGACTTTTTCCCACTACAACAGTCTGATTAGTAGGCCTTTTTAGCGATCTTATGTAGCTCAATGTACCGCAGCATGATGTGACCACCGTTGCAGCTTTCACATGATCATCACTGGAGGTTTATTACTAAACAAACCTTGCAGGCTGCAGCCGTCATGGTATTTTTTTTCTTTGTGCACTTGAGTTTGCAAAGAGAAAGACGTGTATAGATGTCACCAGCACACCGAAATCCTTTCAGGATCACAAAATGTTCTTTTATTGAAGATTTTTGTCATATAAATAAGCGCTTTCAGGGCCGAACAGGGTTCCTTCATCAGGCATTGACCTGATGAAGCCTGAAGCGCTTGTTTATATGGCAATCAATGAACATCTTGTGATCCTGAAAGTATTTTGGTGTGCTGGTGACACGTTTGCTGATTTTGGTGGCGCCATCCACCGTCACTATGAACACCCCCCCATTACACGGCACATTCGGTAAGGAGTGCGACAAGGAAGTTAAATACTGTCTGCAAAGAGAAAGAAATAAGTTTTATTAACTACAGACAGTACAGATGTGTATATGGATTTTTGTTAAAGGGTTCCGGTTGTGCTCCAAGGGGGGTGTGGACTAGAAAGGGGCAGGGAGGCGAGCCTGGAACTGGGCTTTAAGGGGTTCATTTAAAAAAAGTTCCGCCTTAGTGTCTAAAAGTAATTCTGGCCAACCACAGTCATGAATGAGGCAGCTCTTTGGCGACTGAATGGATCCTTGTATTGGTGATCATAGATACAGTCCAGGTTTATGAAAGTTTAATATTGTCTACTTTAAACTGCAGGTTGCGTGGAGTTCCTGGCTAGCCCCGCCACGGCCTTCGTGCGCCTCAATGAGGCTGTCCTGCTGGAGTCAGTCCTGGAGGTTCCCATTCCTGTCCGATTCCTCTTTGTCTTGCTCGGTCCCACCCAATCTAACATGGATTACCATGAGATCGGACGCTCCATCTCCACCCTCATGTCAGACAAGGTCAGCTCTTCCTGCTCTGGTTATGTATATTATCATGTGTGTAGACCCAAAAACCCATAAACATTTTTGTCCATCCTCCATTTAAGCCACAGTTCTGTAAACAAACATGGAAGTGGTTGTGCATATGAATAGATATGAAGGAAACCCTCCTGACCTTGGGAGGAACCTTGATTGAGAATGGCTGCTCCACTGCAGCTGGAATGCCCATCCATATTCTTCCAGTGTGCTGAGTTTGCATTGACCTACTTTGTAAGCTATATGAGATATGCTGTTTTGTATTTATAGTACATGCATTTTCATCCATAGGTACTACTCTGTCACCTATTTATGTCTATTTATGTCTATTTATGAACAATTCGTAGAGCCATTCTCACTGTGAATCTCTGCGAACATGCGTTCTGCACGAATGGAGGCAAAATTGAAGGTTCTTAGTTAGAGATGCACCGATACCAATACTAATATCTGTATCGGTGCCGAACGTTGGCTCTATGATGCATGTGACGCATCAATAAAAGTGTTTATTCTTTTTGCACATTACAATGGTGACTTCTATAATTGACCCCCTCCAATGGTGTCACCCGGTGCGGGCCGCACCCCCTAGTGACGCCACTGGGTAGTTCTCCTTTAAGGTTATATGTGTACTTGCAATGAGTTAAGGGGATCAGCACAGCACAGTTACCCCATTGCCCAACACTTCGAAGGAATCAGAACTTGCATACATAATGACCAAATATATCTGTCTCCTGTGTACATACATAGTTACAAACTAATTAGGGTGTTTGCATAATTACACACAATCAGGGCCGGATTTACTCTCTCTGCTGCCCCAAGGCCAGGCTTCTCAATGCGCCCCCCCAACCCAAATTGCAGACCTGCAAGGATCACCGAGATCACTTGTACAAAACAAGCAGCGGCTTCCCTCTGTATATTTAGCTCTGCTTTCCCAAAGCAGGGCTAGATGTAGAAATTAACTACCTGCCCGGCACCCGGAACTGCATGTCCCGTGCATCGGGAGATAGGAATTCCACGCCCCAGCCGGGCCTTGGTTGGCCTTGTGGGAAATCTGGCCTGCACACAATAGTAAGATTATTTACATCTAGCTGACCAATTTCATAGCTAAAAACTTCAATTGCATTTCCCTTTAACGCTTCTTTTTACAGTCATTTCCCTATTTTCTGTTACACTTCTGAAATATCCTACAAATGATATAGTTACTGAGCTGAATAACTTCACTGTGATGATCGGTATCAGAAAGAATACTTCCCTTCAATATAATGATCTCTCTCACTGACTATAATATTATTTTACTGAATGCAGAGGGAGCTTTAGAGAGCTACAAATCATCAGCCAGAACATTGGAATGACTCCTTCTGCATTAAGTGATCACACAGACTTCTTACAATAAATGTAATTTTATATTATTACCGGACTGACTGGATGGCAGAAGGTGAATGGGACTAAATGGGGGGGATCAGGTCCTGAGATACCAGGAGGATTATAGGAGATCTGTAACATAATGCCTATTATAAGAGCGCAGTGACACCATGTGATCATCGCTCCCGTCTGGCATTTATTTTCTTCCATTTAATTGGTTTAATTACAGTTATTTTACCAGCACAGGAAATATTTAGTAATTATTAGGTGATTATAAGGCTCCGGTGACAGATATAGTACTGTGGGAATGAGCTCGGTAATGGTTACCATATTGTGATGGGGTTCCAGAAAAAGCTCCTCGCGTCGGTTTCCCTGAGCTCGTGGATCATTTTGTTAATTTATATATCGCCAACAAATTCAGTGGCGAGGTCTAGTGAACAAATACAGCAAGTTCAGTTGCCTTGACTTATTTTTTACAGATATACTATGACCTGGATGAATGAGAACCTGCACAGACAACTAGTGAACACATAACCTTTTGCATAGGTCATAGGGAAATACAGTGTAATATTGCAGCAGTAGTAGAATCTTGTGCCGTGGTAATCATCCATTTATGAAGAAGGTTTGGAGTTTTAAGTCATACCCTTTACCTGGCTCAATTCAGTAATTAAAGATGCAAGCTGTTGGGATTCCTTAGATCCCTTCTTCAGGCTTTATTCATTTCCCCAGTTGTATAAATCAGGGGTCGGCTACCTTAGCACTCCAGCTGTTGTGGAACTACAAGTCCCGTGAGGCATTGCAAAACTCTAACGGCCGCAGCCATGCCTTACAGAAGCAGAGGCATAATGGAATTAGTAGTTTCACCTCAGCTGGAGCGCCGAGGTTGCCTGCTGCTTGTATAAAGCCTTAAAGTGCAACTAAAGCCAAAACTTTTTTAATAGTTGTGGATAGAGTGGAGAGGGATTAGGAGACTTGTCAGGTTTTTTTTAGGTATGTTGTATGAATAGGAAAACGTAACAAACATATGGAGGGTCGGGGTTTCTCAGAATTGACTGCAAAAGTGGAAATTCACTTTAAGTTAGCCAAGAATAGTTATCGTTTAAACTCCATACTTTCTGCAGTCTAACATCTCTAACACAATCAGGAGACAAACACACCCACTAGGGTCAATGTTGTGTGGAAGCTGATTAACCCAAAATATGCTTTTGGGTGTTAAGTAGGCATGAGGTTCAGGCAGGCTACTGCCATGGGTTGAGGGAAAACCTGTGGGTTTGAGATGTGTGGTTACAGCAGATTTATGTCTAGATCCACCTGGGAGATTTTTTTTAAATCCATAATGCACTTCATGGCCTTTGAGCTATGGCCAGCTAGTTTATAATGGGCCAATAAGGTTATTTTTTTTTGATACGCCAGCTCTCTTACTATAAAACAGGGGGCACGGAGACGCCACCATGTCAGTGACTATGGTCAGTTAGGAAAGTGCGCTTTAATTCTGATTGCTAGCTATTTGGGCAGTCAGAGACCAACCCCCCCCCCCCCCCCCCACCATATCAGGACACACGCCCTCCAATATTGGGAGGGCTACCTTGCAAGGGAGGTGGCAATGTCTCCCAGTGCATTATGGTTTTAAAAAATATGCAAAATCTTGAGGTACCCAGTCTAAATTGTTTAGAACGTAAATGTAAAAAAACCCGACGTGTTGGCTCCCAAACATCTCTTATCCTAGATAGGGCTTTGATAGAGATTTTAAGGAAGGATCAATGCAAAAAAAAACCAAAAATTGGGTTGCCCCTTTGCATCAGAGTCCCCCTTCATATCAGAGCCCTGCCCTTTCACATTGGAGTCCCCCATTTCACATCAGAGTCCACTTTAACATTGAGGGCCCCCACCTTTCACATCTTCCATCAAGCCCCCATCTCACATTAGGATCCCCCCTTTACATCAGCGTCCTTCATTTCACATCATAGTGCCCCTCTACATTAAGAAAGTAAAGATGGGGCACGGGCACCCCAAATAGTGAATAGTGCGTCTTTTATTGACCTAAATGCAGCATATCACATAAATGCAACCTTTTGGGGTCACGCAGGATCATGCCATGTCTTGCTTGAAGAAGGGGATTCTGCGTGACCCAGAAAAGCTGCATCTATGTGATATGCTGCATTTACGTCACTAAAAGACGCATTATTCAGTATTTGGAGTGCCCGTGCCCCATCTTTACTTTGTGATTACAACGGCGCCATCCTTGGTCACCGCAGCACCCACCAGTTGTTTTGGACTAAGTAGTCAGGAATGTGATGGGGTCATGGGTTACTCCTTTACGTTGAGGCCCCCCCCCCTTTCACACCCCCCGTCAAGTCCCTCGCCTCACACTAGGAGCCTCCCTTCACATCAAAGCCCCCTTTCATATCAGACGCTTGCACCATGGAGATGCAAGACACTGTACACAAAATTTGAGGCACCCTTGAAGAAGCCAGAAGGCATCCTGGTTGAGAAAGGCTGGTCCATCTAATATATAATCCCATCAACGTCATCATGGGTTGTCATAACCTCTATGAAGCATTAATTCTGCAATAATAATGATGACGGTTCTTCCTCCTTCTTCCAGGTCTTCCATGAAGCTGCATACATGGCAGCAGAACGTCAAGACCTCCTGAATTCCATTAATGAGTTTCTGGATTGTAGTATGGTGCTCCCTCCATGCGAGGTTCAGGGGAAGGATCTGCTGCGCACTATTGCCACCTTCCAGAAAGACTTACTGAGGAAGAGAAGGGAACGCGATCAGCGACGCTCCGCACGGGAGAACACCACTCCCAAAGTAAAAGGTCAGCCCTTCTGTGTGTTTGGCAATTTTTATTTAGAGTTCAGTTTACCAGTCAAACATATCCTCCAGTATTTTTCAAAATGGCACCTTACACATGATTACACATAGTACATGGCTAGCCCTTCATCTATATTCTGTATAATTGCTGGAAAGAAGGACTGTCTGTGTTACCCATGACAGCAAGATTACAATGTAGTCAGGGGCGTAACTAGTTACATAGTTACATAGTTACATAGTATTTGAGGTTGAATAAAGACATTAGTCCATCAAGTCCAGATCCGCCTCTGTGGTCGCCGGGCCCTGCCTCCTCTTCCTTCCCCGTGCCCCGCCTCCTCTTCTATCGACGGGCCCCGCCTGCTCTTAGGTCATTGGCCAGTGATGTAAGAGGAGGCGGGGTTGCTCTTAAGCGGGCCCCGCCTCCTTCACTGCGAACGCCGGTGTAACCGGCCTCTTCTGCCGCAGCTGCTGGCTGTTACTGACACAGCTCCGCAGCGGCTGTGAGGGGAAACGCGCCGCGGCCGCTGCACGCATCACTGACAGGTTGACAGTGATCTTCACAGCCGCTGCTGAGCTGCGTCAGTGACAGCCAGCACCCTTAGATGCCATAGCGACCCAGGCGGCCCACACGGCATCCGAGGGATGTCCTGACCGGGCCCCCCCCTTGTGCCCGGGCCCCATAGCGGCCGCCTGGGTCGCTATGGTGATTGTTACGCCACTGAATGTAGTAGTTGGCTGAGTTTCATCATCAAGACACTTCATTTATGGTGTTGTCTTTTTTTGCAGACAAGGAGGCAAATGTGATGAAGCCAGAAGAGGATGACGATGATCAGGAAAGTGAATTAGACCCTCTGGAACGCTCAGGGTTTTTGTTTGGGGGCCTGGTGCATGATATCCGGCGGCGGTATGTGAAGTACTGGAGCGACATCAAGGACGGTCTCAACAGCCAGTGTCTGGCGGCGGCGCTCTTTATCTACTTTGCTGCTCTGTCTCCGGCCATTACCTTTGGAGGTCTTCTAGGTACATACACGAGACCTGAAGATACATGCTGCATGGATGTACCCAGAATGCTTGATTTAACACCCAACTCCACCCAAAATACTTCTCTTTGGATATAGAGTGATGGAGGGGGAAGGCTAGAACCTCCGTATGGTTTTAGATACTGCCTGTGTCTCTGTTAAAGTATATGTAGACCCAATCATAAATATTTCATAGAAGCTTTATTGTATTAATCACATTTCAAAGTCATTTTAAATCTGCAGCTTTCATATAAAAACCTGGTGATCCTGACCATGGAGGTCCCTGTTGAGGCACTTCCTGTTATAGGGTGACAACGCTCTGTCCCTGTCTCCCAATTGTGCTCCTGCGCTGTCACAAGGATTTCAGGAAGACTAGAATTGGCCATTTTACCACACCTTATGCAGGTATGGCCTGCACTTACCACCACCAAGAAACCCACCCTGAGAAATGCCATGCAGCCATCATGCTTATGTTGGCACCAAAAAGAGGTCAAATCCTGCTTACATATCCAACCATTCTCTAATGTCCATGACCAGCTCCATGACCACCAGCATGCATATGTAAAACAGAGCAAAACACTAACTGGATCACATTAAAGGGCTCATGTATAAACCTTCCTTCCTACGCTCATCAGCCCCATCCAGTGGTGGTAATGCCATACAAATGGCATTCACCCAGCTTTATGCTGAGCAAAAGGTTTATACATGAGCCCCTTAGTATGCTAAAGCACATTGTATCATAAATCATTTTTTCACAAAATAACATTTTAATCTTTTTTATTATTATTTTTTCCATCTCTGTGCTCCAGCCTATTTTTACCACTTCCTGTCTACATGCACTCGCTCCATCGTCAGCTGCACAACATTGCCCTGGACTGGCTTTCTGATAGTGATAACAATGGACCATACCTATCTAATGTGTGTCAGCATGGCCGCTTGAAGTCTTCACCAGGGGCGCATGTGACATGTGACAACACAAGGGCACAATTGGGAGACCGTTGTCAGCCCATAAGAGGAAGTGTAAAGGTGCCCATACACTGCACGATTATCGTACGATAATCGTATGCGATCGGTTTTTCGTACGATAATCGAGCAGTGTGAACGGAGACGTGCGACCGTTTCTACTGTACGGTCGCACGTCTTCTGTCGAACCAGCATGTTCGAAAACCAGCCGGGAATCGTACGATTCTCGGCTGGTTAGAACGGTGCTCGGAAGACAAATGCCGAGCGGGCCGGTGTGCGCACGCGCACACTGCCCGTTCAGCATTGCGGTCATCGGAAGCCCGCCCCTCAGGGGGGCGGGCTTGCGATGATCGAGAGTGCGATCTGCCTGTCCAAGATAGGCAGATCGTACGTTTTTTTAATCCCTGTACAACCATCGCAAGACTAAAGTCTTGCGATGGTTGTAGAGTGTAGGTCCACCTTTAGATAGAAAGAAACTGCGCTAGGAATCAAATAACACTCTAAGAGCAGCTGTGCTTAATTGGTGAGTACACCCAAAATAGGAAAAAAGAAAATAGCACTGCGCTTCAAACTCGAAAATTATATTCCTAAAATGTGAAAAAAATAGTATAAAATGTGAAATTGTAACAAAGGAATATGCAAATTTGTGTCATACACAACACCTGTGTTGCACAATGCCTGTGCTGATGATAGTAAAAAACAAAACAAAAAAAAAACCCCCAAAAAAACAAACCGTGCTAGTACATCTCATAAAATGTGTACATATAGAAAATCCTGTGTTGAATCTCACAAGTGATGTATAACTCCCTCTTAATCTACATAACCATGTGTGAAGTTCATTACTTCTGGATACAATAAAGTCCTTCTATGTGAGGATATATCTTCCTGCTTTTATAGTCAACACCAACGTCCGTGAATGCAAAAACAATTAGTGAATCAGTGCTCTCCAGTCTCCACCGTGCTCAAAGATAAGATCTGGCCGCACTCACCGACTCCTATTGCTCACCATATTTCAGATGAACAATTAGCGCTTTGCTGATATATATAGAAACAAATCCTCTCCTTTGTTTTTAATCCGACAATAAATTGGGGTAGATTCCTCCCAACTCTGGCTTATCTTTCCAAAATCGTGTAAAACTATTCCTCCATCTTCCACCTTCTCTTGTGCTCAGAGAGAGAAAAAAAAAGGCTTCCCATAGTGTAGTATGTCAGAATAAATTTATTTAAAACGATTAAAATGCACTTACAATTAAAATAAGGCAATTGCGTATGGATTGTGTCCACTGGAGCTCCTGTCTCTATGATCGCAGCAGACCGTCGCCTCAGAGGAAGTCAATAGTGACGAAATGCATCAGGTGGGCGGATCTATGCGAGCATTACGATCATGTATCCAGAAGTAATGGACTTCACACATGGTTATGTAGATTAAGAGGGAGTTATACATCACTTGTGAGATTCAACACAGGATTTTCTATATGTACACATTTTATGAGATGTACTAGCATGTTTTTTTTTTACTATTGTGCAACACAGGTGTTGTGTATGACACAAATTTCCATAAGAGGAAGTGCATGAACAAGGAAGAATGACTTCTGAACTACCATTAACATGTTCAAGTTTTTATGATTTTTTTATTGATTGGGTTTAGCTCTGGTGCTTCTATTGTACTATCGTGGCCAATGTCATAACATCACTGCAGCCACCCAGTGACTCCATATCATTGTACAGACAAGAACAGCTGCTTACGTCACAAGCGGGACCTCAGGAGGAATACTTTGTCATTGTAGTTAGACCTCCTTACTGTCTTTTACAGCAGATATCAATGAGATCATAACCTTTCTTGGCATTCATAGGGGAGAAGACACAAGGACTGATGGGGGTGTCGGAGTTGATAGTCTCTACCTCGGTGCTGGGTGTCCTCTTCTCTCTCCTCGCTGCTCAGCCTCTGCTCATCATCGGATTTTCCGGCCCACTTCTTGTCTTCGAAGAGGCGTTTTTTAAGGTGTGATGAAACATGCTCCTCAATTAATGCCAATAATGTGTTTAATGGTATAAATGTAGCAAATATTTTTTTTTACAATCTCAAGGATGGAACCTTGTTTTATCATTTTGGGAGGCAGAGTGATAGAAGAGCTAGGGTACGAGAGAAGGTCCAAAGGTTTGGTGACCTTTGCAGTCAAATAAGTTTATCCAAGATGTCTCCATGTCATTGACATCAAGCTAAATTAAGGTTGTAGATTCCACAATATTTCTCTGACAGCTGTTTTTTTTGTTAGTCTATGGCTGGTGGTGGCTCACCTTTCTGACTCAACTTTGCTTCGTTGCCTGGTTTCAGGTCCCATTTTAAAGAGTCAAGCAAGTGACAAAGACCTCAAATTTTGCTAAATGTCATTCTTGAAAGCCCTAGAAAATTCCCGGTGAAGAGCTGCTCTCTATTGTTTCTTCCTCCATTCCTTGCTTCACTTTGAACACCATATTGTCCTGTTCGAAAGTGTGGCAAATACACCGAATACACTCGGCTGACTGATGGCAGCCGAGTGAATACCGGAGCCAAAGTAAAGTGAGCTGAACGCCGTTCGGCTATTCACTTCAGCCTTGTATGGCTGATTTCAGCCATACATCGGCTAAAATCAGCCGTACATTGGCTGCCTTCAGATAGTTTAAGTGCAGAAGGAGTTAGACTTAGCTGATCCAACATAAAAAAAAATATTTTAAAGAAAAAAAAATACCACGACGCATGCCAACCCGACCGCACGTGACGAACTCCCGCCGCATAATGTGAAATCTGACAGATAGCGGCAAAATAAAAGCAATTGGGTGGTGCTAGCAATGACATCACTGCTAGCTTCGCCCAACTGTTTCCTATTGGCCGGCACCTGCCAGAGTTTCCTAGCATGTCCTGGCCAATAAATAACAACCGGGCGGAGCTGGCCATGACGTCACGGGCGGCTCTGCCCAGTTGTTTAATGACAGATCAGCAACCCCTGGTCATTTGGGGACGTTGATCTGTCATTACAACTGGGCAGAGCGAGCCTTGAGATTAAGGATGGCTGCGCCCAGCTGTCATTTGCATGCAAAAAGGCCCTTCGGCGGACCTTTCTCCACACTTCGCTTGTCACTACGGCTTAGCCGAGCCAAAGCATATGCGTTTGGCTCGACTGCCTTCGGCTGCTGTACGGGCTATTGTGAACAACCTGTACAGTAGCCCTTTGGTTCGACTGAACCGAAGGGCTCAGGCGGCCGAAGTGAGCCGAAGGATCAGCCGAAGCTACGGCTGGATCCTTCGGCTCCATAGTGAATAACCCTCTAAATTATTTAAACATTTGGACCTTCCTTCGTACCTATATCAGAAGTTTAAAATATTTAACTTGCTGTGTCATTGGAACATTGAAACATACAAGTTAGAACAGTGTTGGTAACCTTGGCTGTTTGAAGATCTTGTTAGATGTGTATCTGTGTAAATATTTCTGATGGAGACGCCGTATTCTTTGTATAGAAAGTTTCATTGGAATTAATATTATATGTGTTGTATATTCTTAGAAGTTGGGGCAAACCTCCAGCCCTCCATCTAGATGTCTAACTTGTGTTCTCTCTGTACCAGTTCTGCCAGGTGCAGGACATTGAGTACCTGACCGGCAGGGTTTGGATAGGCTTCTGGCTGGTCTTGTTTGTCCTAGTTATGGTGGCCGCCGAGGGGAGCTTCTTGGTGCGTTACATCTCACCGTTCACCCAGGAGATCTTTGCCTTCCTCATTTCCCTCATCTTCATCAACGAGACCTTCTACAAGCTGTATAGAGTAAGCATTCAGAATTCTTTCCTTCTGGAATAGATGTAATTTTGTATCAAGTGAAAAAATGTCTGCCTGAGTATCTGCTTGTATCTGCCTGACCTCATACTCTGAGGCTGAGTTACAAAAGCAGTTGAGAATATTCTCTCACAAAATTATTAAAATTCACTTCAGGTATCCAGTTATGTGCTGGAGATTTTTCTGAGTAAGTGAATATTCTTAAAGGAGTTGTAAAGATAATGCAATCAAAATGAAAAAAATCCCTTTTATGTAGTGAGTGCTCCGTTTATCTGCCCATCACTTCCAACAACTTCCTGGATTCCCAGTGTGCTTTGCATCTCTTTCTCTGCTGCTTGTGAGGCAATCTTAATTTTTCAAGACTACATATCCCATCATGCATTTCTTCCAACAAGCAATGGTAATATTACATTGCTCAGATGTTGAGTTTCTGTGGTTTTTAGGAGTGGTTATTAGTAGACATGAAACCCCCACACAAAAAAAGTGTTTAGTTTCGGATCGTTTTGAGTCGTTATTCAGATTTCATATCCGTCCAAATTTTTGTTTGTGGAAGGATCCACAACAGGAAGTCACATGATCGTGCCTGTAATGCAACCTCCAACAGCAAAAAAAAACCCTGATTGCTCAAAGAACAGTCACATGTCCGATTTAGTTTCATTTTGAACTAAATTCGGACAGATCCGAATTTTCATTAAAGGAACATTCAGATTGATTCACATTCGGACACATTTGAATTCAGAAATTCTGATGCATCCAAATGTCCAAATTTAATGAAATTCATACGAATATCCATTCAGAACGAAACAAAATTCACATGTCTAGTTATCTGGAGTGGGATACAACTTATGAAAATTCAGTATAGAAATACAGATTTCTTTTTAGTTTTGGAACGTAGATACCCATTAACTCCTTTAGTAAATCAGCCTCCCTGTCTCCAAACTTCTAAAGGGTTTATTCACAAAAGGGTGAAGAGTTTGGAGAATGCAGGAGAAGGGAACAATCTCGGACAACATAGCTGGACTGGACAGTGAGCTGAATTGGAGAATTTTTCTAAATCAGCTATGTTGTCCGAGATTGTTCCCTTCTCCTGACTTCTCCAAACCCTTCACCCTTTTGTGAATAACCCTGTTATGTGCAGTGTTTGAGCTCCAGCAGTTGACAAGCAGCAATTGCCAAACTTCAGGTGACTTCTGAACAGGCCCGGCGCTAGCGCAAGGCAAGTAAGGCGTGCGCCTTACGGCGCTGCAGGTGAGGGCGGAAAAAACAGGGCATTTTGACAAGTACTTGTCAAAATGCCCCGATGTTTGCGCTCTGTTTTTAGGTTATAATTGTCAGGTTTTTCAGAAGATTTATCCAGACTTCCTCTTGAGTTTACTGGTACCACATGAGCCAAGAAACGAGAACCCAGACTGCACCTTTTTAAGGAGTGGATAAGGGTCAGAACTTTTTCCCTTTTCTTTTCCAGTTCCTCTTATATTTTTTCAATCTCTCTAGATTATTTACTATTCTTTTCTATCCAAGCGCTTCATTCATTATTCCTCATTCTCCTCTCCTTTGACTCTCTTTCCAGCTAATACATTTCCCCTTTAACCCAACCCAACATATCTCGCCACTTTACACAGCTTCATCATGGGTTAAATGTTGCTCAAATGTGACAGTGGGGCAACCAACACACGACACACATTATCATAATGGCTGAAAATGTAATAGAAAGAGATACCAAGGAGAGGAGAATGAGGAATAATGAAAAAAGAACTTGGATGGAAAAGACTAGTATAGATCTAAATGCAATTGAAAAAGTATAAGAGGAACTGGAAAAGAGAAGGGAAAAAGAGAACATTAATGAGGAGATCTAAAAATATCAGAGGAACTGTAAAAGAAAAAAGTGAAAAGGGAACCTTAATATGCAGCTAAATGGTGTCGCTTTCTAAATTGATACGAGGAACTATATATAATTAAACACACAATGAGGCACAAGAAACTTTATTCTTTTTATTGAATTAAAAATAAAAGTTAGGTTTTAAAAAACCCTGATGGGGTAGACATACAAATTTGCCATGTATGTCACATTCCTAAGAAGTAACTGTGACCACAGAATAAATACTATTATTGGAATATAACTCTCTTGAAATGACAAGTTGTTATTGCTTTCATTGTAGACACAGCAGCCTACTTTAGGGTTGCCACCTTTTCTTCCATTGATACCCGAATACTCTAGCGATGCAAGGAAATTTTTTGGGGAGAATGAGTCACTGCTTATGTGTATGCAAATAGCGCCACCCGTTCTTATGTAAATATCACAGTGAAGACTATTTTCCGTGGGGGGCCAGTAGCCCCTATCTTAATCTTGGTCACCCCTGTCTGCCTGACATCTTCTGTCCGGGTTTCAGCTGCCATGAAACCCGGATGCAACATTCAAAACCCGGACTGTCCGGCTGAATCCCTAGCAACCCTAGCCTACTTCCTGTAGCAGTTAGCGGTATCACATCTTAATGAATATGGGGGAACATTTGATATTGTCCACACACATTTCTGCTGAAAAAGGTCAGGAAATGTTCATGCTGAGAGTTGACTTTTGTTGCCCTAGGTGTTTGCAGACCACCCATTGCTCAGGTCGTACCCTTCCGGTGGTTCTGGAGGTCGAGCATCAGCCGCCCTGGGCCCCCGGATGCAGCCCAACACTGCTTTACTCTCCCTTATCCTGATGTCAGGAACTTTCCTCATTGCCTTTTTCTTGCGCAAATTCAAGAACAGCCGGTTCCTGGGAGGAAAGGTGAGATGGAGGGGCAGTGACTGCTCAGCATACAGGTCCTCTTAATGTCTTACCTGTTAGATGGCACTCTCTCTCTCTTTCTCTCACACACACACTCTCTCTCTTTCTTTCTTTGTCCAGGCCCGACGAGTGATTGGAGATTTTGGGATTCCGATATCTATTCTAGTTATGGTCCTAATTGATTACGCAATAACTGACACCTACACGCAGGTATGTTCTCATAAACCTTTAACATGAATCTTCATTTCTATAGCCAAGAAAATGAAAAAACGATTTATTTTTAGAATTTATCCTCCTGTGATTTATAGGAAGGGCTGAAATTTGAGGTTTCCATGAGCTGTGCTCTGCATAAGGGGCAGTTAAAATTGACTTTGGCCTAATTACAGCAGCATTCAGTTGGGATCTATTTATGAAAATTGTAGCAAAGCAATGGGGAGTTGTCACCTAAAGCAGACGACCAGATTTAGATTATTACAATTTAGAGAATTGAAGTTAAATCCTGATTGGTTGATGTGGATGACACCACTGTGTTTGCATCTCTTCTTTTGAACTGTAAAGCAGAAAACTCCTTTCCTTTTTCTTGTTCTAGAAGTTGAATGTTCCTTCAGGCCTGTCCGTCACCTCTCCTGGGAAACGTGGGTGGTTTATTCACCCCATGGGGACATCCAGTCCGTTTCCTCTCTGGATGATGTTTGCTTCGGCTATCCCAGCTCTTCTGGTGTTCATTCTCATGTTCATGGAGACTCAAATCACTACGTGAGTAGGACGATACTCAAAGCAATGAAAGCTTTTTTTATTCAACAAGCCTCAGATATAGCCGAAGTTTCTGGGCATTGCAGGGTTCCTTCTTAAGACAACACAGTGACCACTATGTGCCCTTGAGGAAGGGACACTGCGAGACCTGAAATGTTGGCTGTATTTGACTTGCGTGGCATTTTATTATTAAATATGTGAGATACTTCAGTGGATTGCTGGTGACTTTCCATTCTTTTACTGCGGTTTTGCTCAGTTGCATCTGTTTTGGTGACTACCAGCACCTTCCTTCTACATTGATCATAATACTGCAGCTCAGATCTGTATTACAGCATGCTACATATGACCTAATAATGGTGTTACTATTAGTACTGCACCCAATACTACTGCTGCTGATAATAACTAAAATAACAATGGTATTGGTTCCACACAAGCTAAAAATGTTCTATGAATTTCGGACCCACCACTCAGGGCTGGCCTTAGGCCTTTAGGCACCCTGTGCGAGAAAGCTCTACATCCCCCCTCAGTGACCACACCCCTCAGTGGCCACACCCATTTCCCCCAATATCCGCACCATTTAAAGATTCCAATTTTGTTAAGCCCTAAAAAAACATATTAAAAAGTATGATAAAAATAAAACTTTTATTCAAAGGTATTAAACTTGTAGGCACAATATAAGTATTCTTATCAAATAAAACAACAGAAGGCAAACAAGTGGCAAACAATAAATGTCAAACTAAAATAGTGTTTATAAAAATAAAGTGTCAGTTTGTCATGCCGACCCTTTCTTCAAGTAAGTGCATCTAGAAAAGTAAAAATAAAAAACAGAACACAAAACCAAGAGTACATGGTAAATTAATGAATTACTATTTGCCAGAATATACGAAAAATGTATTCGGGCACATAATAATTTGTTTGAGAATGTGCGGCGGCCATGTTGGCCACCGGCGCGTTCTGCGAATGCGTGCCACTATCTTGGAGGTGGGGAGCATGATGTCACATGACGCCATGCATGCGTGGCGTCAGGTAACATCACACACCGATATAGGCGCCGCAATCTTGGTGTATACCTAGATATAACACGTGCGGTGTTATATGGTGTCATGCGCCCTGCCTCCAGAACACGCCAATGGCTGAATCCAAAATAGCATAAAAATGTGTTTTGTTTGATGAAACGAATGAAAACGTTTTTAGTTTCGTTCATTTTATCTGAAATGAATTTTTAGTCTTTGCAGTTGTCTGATAATACGTGTGTGTGTGGGGGGGTAATTTTCACTTTTTTTTAATATATAATTTTTTACTATTTTTTATTATTTATTTATTTACTTTTATTCAGAAACTGCTGATAGTAAAATATTTTACTATCAGCAGTTTCTGAATGGGGAGGAGCCTCTGTAGTGAGTGCTTCTCCCCATTGAGAAATTCATGAATGAACAGGAAGTGATGTAAATGTGAGGAAGGAGCACTGTCATGTCGGATGGCCAGTGGTGAGGAGGAGAGAAGCCGCCCCGAGGACGCGCTGTGTCGGCCGCCTGCTGCCCTTGTTGCCATGGCGCCCTGTGCGGCCGCACAGCTCGAACACCCCAAAGGCTGGCCCTGCCACCACTTCTACTTCTGCTACCACTAATTATAATAATTATGATGTTTGTTCGTGTTCTTGATTCTGTTGCCAGCCTGATTGTCAGTCGGAAGGAAAGGTGCCTACAGAAAGGCAGCGGTTTTCACTTGGATTTGCTCCTCATCGGCTCCTTTGGCGGAATCTGCGCCCTTTTCGGACTGCCTTGGCTGACGGCGACCACGGTGCGCTCCGTCACTCATGTCAATGCCTTGACCCTGATGAGTAAAACGGCGCCAGGAGAGAGGCCGCGGATCTCTGAGGTTAAAGAGCAGAGGGTGACAGGAGTGCTGATCTCCATTCTCGTTGGTGAGTACGCGGTGCTGCAGTTGTGTGAACGGCAGTTCTGGGTGCTGAGTGGTCAAAACGTTGTTTTTAATTTATCATTTTCATTTTGGAAAATGATACTTCTTAATAATCCACTATAGTCAAAACATGTGTATTCTGGTAATGATAATATTCAAAATATGAATTCCTTTAGTTTACAGGCATTTATTTATATTTACATGCAGACCAAGCTGGCCAGCAAAAGTGACAGCTACAGAGGTTGGGCCAAACCATATAACACTGCCGGGGGTGCCTACAGCAGTCAGCTTCATTTAAATCATTTTTCTAAAGAAAATACAGTTGCTAAAACTGTTTACATTACTTAAAGTCCATTTAAAACTAAAAAGTCCATCAACAAGGTGACAGCGCTGATGTGTGATGGTTGATGTGACCCCTTACATTGGCGGTCAATGTTGATGTGAGCTCTTACATTGGTGATAAATGTTGAAGTGACCCCTTACATTGGTGGTCAGTGCTGAAGTTAACCTTTACATTTGTGGTCAGTGTTAAAGTTAACCCTTACATTGACAGGCAGTGTTGAAGTGACCCCTTACATTGGTGGCCAGTGTTGAAGTAGACCCTTACATTGGTGGCCAGTGTTGAAGTGGACCCTTATATTTGTGGTCAATATTGAAGTTAACTCTTTATTGGTGGCCAGTGTTGAAGTGGACCCTTATATTGGTGGTCAATGTTGAAGTTAACTCTTTATTGGTGGTCAATGTTGATGTGACCCCTTACATTGGCGGTCAATGTTGATATGACCTCTTACATTGGTGATAAATGTTGAAGTGACCTCTTACATTGGTGGTCAATGTTGACATGACCTCTTATATTGGTGATCAATGTTGAAGTGACCCCTTACATTGGTGGCCAGTGCTGAAGTTAACCTTTACATTTGTGGTCAGTGTTAAAGTTAACCCTTACATTGACAGGCAGTGTTGAAGTGACCCCTTATATTGGTGGTCAATGTTGAAGTGACCCCTTACATTGGTGGTCAATGTTGAAGTTAACTCTTTATTGGTGGTCTGTGATGAAGTGAACCCTTACATTGGTGGACCAGTGGAAAATTCCTCCTTTATATTGGTGGTCAGTGTAGGCAGGAGATCAATTAACTAATTTGCAATGAACCCCTGGCACCTCTAGGAGGAACCCAAGAGTTCCACAAAACCCTGGTTGAGAAAGGCTGCTTTAGAATGATATGCAAGAACAACTGTAAACTTAAACAGAGATAAAAATATATGTATTTTTTTAAATGCCATTATGAAGACACTCAGCCTATTTTCTATCATCATTTGTACAGCTGGTCAGCTAGGAAGAGTAGTGAAAGTGTTGTGTTGATGTGTATTGTTTTGTACCAGTTTTTTGAACAGCGTGTATGGTGTAATTTTCACCTATAGATGTCACTGTTGCCTCTGTTCTAATATTTAGCCCGTGGCTACACGATTCATACATGCTGGAAGCGGTGACACCTGGAGGCTGAACATAGAAGGGGGCTGTAATGTTAGTGATAATCCATCAATAATACAGCGGCTGAGTCCCTCATTTCTCATGTCCCCCGAGGCAAAGTTGCCACTGTGCGCATTGATTATTTAACCCGCGCACGCTGTTTTATGTTACGTATGTCCCATCGCTGTTATTGACCTTTATTAGCACTTTGATGCTTGTTTTATGGGTAGCATTAGATATTTATTGGTTCTGACGAGTAGTTCTATCAATAACATACACACTGCCTCAGTGACAAGCATAGACATTTAGGCACTTAAAGGTACATTTTAGTCAACGTTGAAGAATGATGCTTTGCAATGCATCCTGGGAACACAGCCGACCATCCCAGAGCTTTGGATTTAACATTCAGGACAAGCTGTAGTGAATTAGGACATTCCAGTGGGGATAATTTAAAGTGATATTAAAGTCAAAAGGTTTAAGCTATTTCAAATGTTGGTAAAATCACTTACAATGGATGCTGTTTAAAAGTTTTAGTTTCCACCTGTTTGTATAAATGTATGTGGACATATCTTCTATATTTGTAAACCAATAAAACTTTATTTGGAAAAAAAAAGTTTTAGTTTCCTGCAGAATCAGCTGGTCTCCTGAGCGCTGGCCCTGATATCCTATTATAGGGTGTCTTCTTTCCCTTGCAGGGTCCTATAGAGCCACCCTTGTGTGTGCTAGTAAGCTGTGTGTGTAAACACTAACCTACAGATACAGCAAGGCAAGCCACACCTATCCTTTGCTGGGCAATGTATTTGTGTCTGATCTGGATTCATTATTAAAACATTTTGGGAGTTTAATACTACTTTAATGCTGGGGGTTAGGTTAAGGAATAGGTTCGGGTTAAGGGCCCTGTCACACCATCAAGAGTGCGTTGCAGTGTGTTCGGCCTCTGGAACGCACTAGAACGCAGCCCAGCCGGCTCACTTTGTTTTGGGGCGGGAGAGGGCGTGGCAATGCATTGAACTCAATGGGACCGCAGACGTGCCCCCCACCCGCGGTGTGATCGCCGGCACCCGAACACGTGGTACAAAATATTCAATTTTTTCTTTCGTTCACAGCGGAGATCTTGATCTCTGTACAGATGGGTTATACCGCCACTTGCAGGAGTCAAGAACCCATTGGTATAGAGATCATGATCTTGGCTGTGTCCTTCAATGAACGCAGGGAAAAGGATTTTACAGTGAGTACAAAAAAAATCCTATTATTGTATTTGTCCTCCGCAGGGCTTTCCATAGTGATGGGGGAAATGTTGCGTCAGATCCCGCTGGCCGTTCTCTTTGGGATCTTCCTGTATATGGGGGTGACATCACTCACCGGGATCCAACTGTTCGAGAGGCTCCTGCTTATCCTCATGCACCCCAAGCATCACCCGGAACACCCCTATGTGGTGAAGGTGAGCATGCACACAATACTAACACCAATATATTAAAAAATACATGGGGGGGGGGGGAGCAGACAAAATCTGGAGCAGTTGCCCATAGTAACCAATCGGCTTCTCTCTTCAGTTAGTTAAGATTTGAAAATGAAAGATTAAAGCTGATTGGTTGCTATGGGCAACTGCTCCAGATTGTGTCTGCTCCAGTTTTGATAAATTCCCTCATTCAGTTTATTGGTTCTTGGCTCCAGCATAATTATGGTCCATAGCTGCCGAATGCAGCCGATATCTGGGACAGGTCCTGGATGCGATTATCTGCCGGTGGAAATTTTTGTCCCTTGTATTGCTCTTGTTTTTAGCTACAGGTCAGCTTCACAATGCAATCTATGCTTAAAGTGATGTGAACCCAATCACAAAAATCTGTAACATGATAATCTCATTTCAAAAACCATTTTCTATCTTCCTAAATTTGCAACCCCTGGTGATCCTGCCATGAAGGTCCTTGGTTTAGGAGCTTCCTGCTATGCAGTGACAACCAGGGGTGTTCCTAATCTTTCCGCTGCCTAAGGCCGGGGTAGGGGGTGCTGATGTTGCATGTAATTAGTGGGGCGGGGAGATACGTAGGGGCCATACACATCTCCCCACCCAGCTCTTATCAACCTGGGAGGCTCTGGCCGGAAAGGGGGGGGCAGGATACTGCTGCCTCCCCAAATGACCCAAAGAGATGCCGCCTCAGCCTGCCTCATTAAAGGGAGGGCTCTGGTGACAACGCTCTATCCATGTCTCCCAATTGTTCTCCTGCGTTTGTCACCCTTTCACATTGGCCTCCAATGGAGTCTACAAGTGGCCCTTTAAACACACATTCCGCAGGCAGAGTCTGCAAGTCGTCACTGTCAGGAAACCTGCCCTCTAGTTTGGAAATTCAGATGCATCTGAATGTCTGAATTTAGCAAAATTTGTATGAATATTCATTCCGGACGAAACGAAATTTACATGTCTACTATAAATTCAGTTCACACCAGTGGCTTAACAATAGCCGAAGCAGCTCACGCGGCTGCTATGGGGCCTGGGGGTGGAAGGGGGCCCTACTAAGGATTGCAGAAGCTGCTGTTGACCCTGTACCCCCCATGACATTTTCAATTATGAAGAGCTGACATAAGATTTACAGGAGGAGACTGTGCAGACAGCTCTCCTGTTACCTGTTGTTGATTTAGATTTTAAGGGGTCACTGGGGAAGGGGGGGGCATCAAAATTATGGTATGGGGCCCATGATATGGGACACCATTGAAAGTAATACGTTTCTTCATGTTGTGACAAAATGCCCAGGTGTGGAAGGGGGCTGCATGGCGCGACTTTCTAAGCTTTCTCATCCAAAAAGAGGCAGACGAGGCACGTCGGACTTTAATGGCGCCCAAAACATAAGTTGAATTTAATCTTTCTATTCACCTTGGCCGTATCCTGGTTTTGTCTCCCTAGGTCTGCACATGGAGGATGCATCTGTTCACCTGCGTCCAGCTCTCTTGCATTGTGCTGCTCTGGGTGGTGAAATCGTCTCCGGCTTCGTTGGCCTTCCCGTTCCTCCTCATCCTCACCGTTCCTCTCAGGCGGTTCATCCTGCCCAGGTTTTTCCACGAGAGGGAGCTTAAAGCTGTGAGTTGTACTTTTTATATTCAATGCTGAAATTTTAATATTTTCTAAATGTTTACGCTCTTTTATAAAGATTTTTAAGTGTAAAACCCAAAAGGAAGAGTTGTAGTCAGGACCGTCCCTTTAATGAGAATGCCTGCAGCCCCCTTTCCTGGGCAGGGAGATGTGAAAGGCTATACATATCCCCCCGCCTGGCTCCTAGCAACCCGGGATGCTCTTGACGCCGTCCAGTGACGTCACTGGTTGCCAGGAGCTGGGCAGGACACCGGCCAGAGCGTTCCAAGTTGCTCAAAGCCGGGCAGGAAGATGCAGAGCCCTTAAACATCTTCCCACCCAGCTCTTAGCTTCACTCTCCACCAGCACTACCCCACCAGCAGTGACGTCACAAGTGGGGTGCGGCCCGCACCCGGGTGACACCATTGGAGGGGTGACACCTAAATGACTGACAGTCATTTTGGTCTCACCCCCTCTGAAAAGTCGGGCACTCGGTCATGGACTGAGAGCCTGAAAGTTTCGGGAGAGTGGAGGGGACCTTATCCCGCCCGGTGACTGTCCCCTCCTCTCTCTGCTGGCGTCCATCATCATCCATCAATAAGGTCGCCGTACATGCGCAATGACGTCATCACGCACGCGTGTGGTGACGTCACGCGCATGTGTGATGACTGCACAACAGGGTGAAGCCCTGCCTCGGGACGCTCCTGCCCACCAGCATGATTGCATGCAGCACCAGCACCTGACACCCTCCGCCTCAGGCAGAAAAAAGGCTAGGAACATCCCTAGCTGGACCCCTACATCATTTGGGAGTGGTGTGGTCATGTGACCATGGTTCATGTTACATCATGGGGGGAATTTATCAAAACTGGAGCAGAAGAATCTGGAGCAGTTGCCTATGGCAACCAATCAGCATCTCTCTTCAGTTTGTTTAGTTAAGGTTTGAAAATGAAAGGTGGATGCTGATTGGTTGCCATGCACATCTGCTCCAGTTTTGATAAATTACCCCCCACGTATATAGATTTAACATTGTCAGAAAAGTCAACTTAGCCTCTAACTGCCAATCTCATTGCTCACGTCTGCTTCGTTTTTCCAGCTGGATTCGGAAGACGTTGAACCGAACTTTGATGAAGACGGCCAGGATGAATACAATGAGCTTCACATGCCCGTGTGATCCGAGTCCACTGGGCTAAAATCCATCTGGATCGTCATCACCAGAGCTCCTCCTTGCAGGGTCCGGTTTTATTTCTGCAGGGGGGGGCTGTTGTATTTAGAACTGATTGACCCCTTGAAAAACCTTTGTTGACTTTCCACATTCACATCCTGACCCCGGAACCCACAATCACACGCTGTTGAGTTCCATTCTGAAAAAAAATTAAAGGAATTATGAAAGCAAATAAAATAAATATTTATTAAATACTTAAACTTTAACACCTTTTATAGAGTTTTCCTTTTACAACTGAACTCCAGGCAGACAGATCCATTCATACAGCCGCTCTTCTGCTGGGTATGGCATCGCCAGCCATCTTTGTTTGGCCAGGAATGATGTAAATTCAGCACATACCCGTGGAAATTGCCAGCGTCAACGTGTCATAATCCACGTAGATGCCCGATTACCATGACGTGTGTAATATGATGAACTGCACTGCACACTGAAAATGCGCAAACACATGTTGACGTGCATGGATGTGCATGGTTTTGCGCATCAAGGGGTACACAGTGTACACAGGTGTGACTCCAGCCTGCAGGCCCATTGACTTATATGCATTTTTTATTTGCTGCAATTGCTAACAGCTCCCTTTTATATGACAATGTGATACCTCAGACACCCCAGGTACGTATCCGAGAACAAGGTGCTGATAAGCTGGAAGTATCGGAGAACAAGGTGCCGATAAGCTGGAAGTATCCGAGAACAAGGTGCCGATAAGCTGGAAGTATCGGAGAACAAGGTGCTGATAAGCTGGAATTCCTGTACGTGCAATGAGAACATACGTATGGGTTCACAGGGAAGGGTTAATCTAGATAACGCTGAGTGGCACTTCACCTTTTATCTGCAGGAAAGCAGACAGGAAAGGCAAACTCATCTGATTTTCCTGCCTTGTGCAAAGTAGAGCAGCAGACTGCAAGTAGAAGAGAAGATAGCTTAAAGTGTACCTGTCACCTAAGTAGAACATTTTAACAGTCTATATATAGATTTAGGTGACATTAAAGTCACAAATAGTTTCCTCCCCCCATGCTGCTTTAAGGACTTACCTTAAACGATGCGTCTTGCTTAGGGTTGCCACCTGTCCAGGATTCACCCGGACAGGGTTTTGAATGCTGTGCCCGGGTTTCATGGCAACAGAAACCCGGACACAAAATGTCAGGCAGACAGGGGCAACCCAAATTGAGATAGAGGCTACTGGCCCCGCACCGAAAATAGTCTCAACTGTGATATTTACATATGAATGGGTGATGCTATTTACATATGAATAAGCCATGACTCATTCTCCCAAAAAAATGTCCACGCGTCGCTAGAGTATTCGGGTTTCTCTTGAAGAAAAGGTGGCAACCCTTGTCTTAATCCGATCATCTTCTTCCTTGCACTTGTATTCAGCAATCCCTCCAGCGCTGGTGCTGGTCTCTGATCCAGCAATGGCATAGACTGCTGTCTCTTCCTGCCCCACCAAGTCTGTCCAACGTACACACTCCCGGCTACAAGCATTTAGCTCCACTGTGTCTCTCCCCCACGCCGAAGATCTTTACTGCACATGCGCCCGCCCCATAATCCTGCATGGCCGCTTGAGAAGCTTCAGATCTTCAGAAGGGAGTGAGTGGCGGAGACAGGTAAGTAATTACCTTATTGGTAACTTTTTTCTTTTTTAAAATATTTTTGCATATATCTTGCTAGCTAGTAGTCCATGTGCACTGCGACACAACTGGTTGGCTTCTTATGCTTATAAGCCTTATGCGGAACATCTGTCTAGAAAATTGCTTACAACCCTCAAAGCAGTATATATAATGGAAGAGGCCCAGTAGGATAAAAATGCTAGTTGCAATTTTTTATGTTGATCAAATTGATATTTTTAGGGGAAAAAATACACCAAAAGAAATTGAAACACCATATAATACCCAACTTTTTTGTAAAATATAGAAGACAGGGTTTTGTTGAGTAAATAGATACCAAATACAGTGGTACCTCTGTTCACGAACTTAAAGTGACATTAAAGTCAAATTTTTCCCCCCCCCTCCCCCCCATGTAAATGTTAGCACTTACCTTAAATGATGTCTCTTATTCTGATCTTCCTCTTCTTTCCCCATGTTTTCATGTGTCCCTCCAGCGGTGTGACGTCACTCCGATCCAGCGCTGACTGCTCTGTCCCTCCGATCCAGCGGTGTCTGCAGGCGGGTGCACGCGTCCATGGACTTACCTTGCGTCTCTGCTCGTCTCCCGGACGAGAATTGGCACTGCGCATGCGCCAGCCCCAAGATCCTTTGCGGCTGTACGATCACTTCCTGATTCTCGGCGCCGTGCGAGCAGCGATAACGAGGTAAGTTTAAAACTAGTTAAAGAGGTTTTTTTTTTTTAAACTTCTTGCCTATATCTACTGCTCGCTAGCAGTAGATATAGGCAAAAAAAACGGATGGTTTAGAACCCCTTTAATTTGTTCCACGATTCTGGTTGCGAACCGAATCAAACTGTGATCAGAACGCAATCTCGACTAGAGGAAGCCACGACCATGTGCCAGAGCGGGGAAGATGGCTGGGGTTGTGTTTGTCACCCGATGCGGAGTTCATGAACGGAAGCACAATTTTGCAGAACTTCCCGTTCGCGAACCGAGGTACCACTGTATCTCAAACCTTAAAATGGCATGCGTCCGTGAAATGGCAAAAGACTACAAACTACCCAAAATCGCCTATAGGTGATTTAACAAAAAAGCCTTTACCATTCATCAGTGTAGAGTAAACAGTGAGTAATGGCCCTAGAAGTATTACTCTCACTCCAACGTTTATGCCAATATATAACATTGGTGGCACAATCGTTGTTTTTGCGCATGTGTCTTCGACGCATGTTTGCATTTGAATGCGCGCATATGTATGGAAGGGGGGGGCTTTAAAAAAATTTGGGGTCTTTTCTATATGTTACTTTTGTTTGTTTACACTTTTTTAAACTATCGCTATTACATAGGGGGCTAACAACAAAGAAGAAGCGACAGGTCCTGTTTATGGAGACCTCAGGGGTCTCTTAGACCTCTAATGTCCCCTATGGACCCTACAGAAGCTGATGAAGCACAGACCATGCTTCACCAGCTTCTTTTGTGGCTTCAGCAGCCAGAGAAATTACAGCCTGAAACCGAAAGTGATTAAATCCTTGTCACTTCCGGGTTCAGAAACTGGAAGGGAGATCAGACACCATTTGGTGCAGCCAGTGACATGAAAGATAGTGGAGTCTGGGATCGTTAGCACCAGTGGCACAGTGGGGTGGCACACTGTTTTGCTGCATAGAAGTGACTATGTATGTGAAACTTGTATGTGAAAGCCGGGCACTAACCACAGTGACAAGACCAAGAGCAGCAGCCATGATCTTGGTTTGAACCACTTTAGTACTAGCCGTTTAATTACACCGCTACGCCGGTACTGAAGTGGTTAAGCTCTATACAGCAGACACCATGAAATAAATGTGATGGTGCATTCAAATCTGCGTGGAGTTCATCTTTTAATGCTGTCAGTCCCTCTAGATTGTGCCGGTAGCTCTATTCCCGGTTAGATAATGATGAGTGAATGGTGAACTGTGCCGTATAATGACAGGAGTCTGGCCTGTTTATCAACAAGGGACCTTCTTCTTCCTCGCCAAGGCTTAAAATAGCCCCAAATGGTGCGTTCATCCTCTGCGATCTGGCTCATATCCAGCCTGGGATTTCGGCTCACACGTCCTGGTTGGAGCGAAATGAATGCAATCTTCTCTAATTGTACTTAATGAGCCAGGAAGATTCCTGCCAATCCGCCACAAAGAGAGCACATCAAAGCAGACACCAAACAAAATGCTGCATTAGGGCTAATGGAGTCTTCAAAGTGCGCTCAGGATTTTCCTACATTCAGTAAAAGTCAAGAATACAATAGGGAGGAAGACGAGATATTGACCACTCGTTTGGCAGGGACAGGCCTCAAGTGGCTCTGCATGTGAAGACATTTTCCTATATTCCAGTAAAACAGTGTTGGGTGACCTGCGGATTATGCAGATGGAGGGAGAAGTCAATAGACTCCCTCTCCTAAAGATCCCAACACTAAATGCCCCCTTTATAATGGTATTAATGACCCCCCGCATGATGGCAATAATGACCCCTTCACAATGGCATTAAATGCCCCCTTCATAATGGTGTTAAATGCCTCCTCTAAATTGGCATTAAATGCTCCCTTTATAATGGCACTAAATGCCCCCTTCATAATGACATTAATGCCCCCTTTATAATGGCACTAAATGCCCACTTCATAAATTACATTAATGCCCCCTTTATAATGGCACTAAATGCCCACTTCATAATGACATTAATGCCCCCTTTATAATGGCACTAAATGCCCACTTCATAAATTACGTTAATGACACCTTTATAATGGCACTAAATGCCCACTTCATAATGACTTTAATGGCCCCTTTATAATGGCACTAAATGCCCACTTCATAATTACATTAATGACCCCTTTATAATGGCACTAAATGCCCACTTCATACTGATATTACTGACCCCTTTATAATGGCACTAAATGCCCACTTCATAATGACATTAATGACCCCTTTATAATGGCATTAAATGTCCACTTCATTTTGGTGTTAAATGCCTCCTCCAAATTGGCATTTGCCCCCTTCATAATGGCATTGAATGCCCTCTAATGCCCTCATAATGACATTTAGGGCCCCTTCATAATGGTATTAAATGCCCTCTAAACGCCCCTTTCATAATGGCAATAATCACCTTCAAATTGGTATTAAAGGCCCCTTCATAATGGCATTGATGACCCCTTTATAATGGCACTAAATGCCCACTTCATAAATTACATTAATGCCCCCTTTATAATGGCACTAAATGCCCACTTCATAATGACTTTAATGGCCCCTTTATAATGGCATTAAATGCCCACTTCATAATGACATTAATGACCCCTTTATAATGGCATTAAATGTCCACTTCATTTTGG